TATAAGTGTCTGGGCATCTGGAGCAGCTCTTGGGGATCCCAACTCTGTGCCTGAGGCCTCTGCTCTGGCCCTGTTGGCAAATGCCCCCAGAATCTCCAGGGGTGGGGGAAGGCTGCTCTGGGTATCCACACCTGCTTCCTTCATTCCTTTTTAGAGATTCATGAGGGGATGGCTTAGGGGATGGCTTCAGGATCGGTGTAAAGATTCAGGTCTACATTTGTTTTAATGTGGCACTGGGGCTGATGGGAATGTTCTCTATATTCACCCTCTGTTGAGGGAAGCAGCAGCCTGTGTGACTACTAAGAAGCCTGGTGTTAGGGCTATCTGTCTGATTGTGGGTTACTGGGCCAGGCGGGCAGGGCAAGGCAGAGCAGGGTAGTGTGAAGGCAGGAGCCTTGGCCATGGGAGATGCTGAGTAGCCTCGACAGTGACTGGAAACCCATGTTCCTAGCCCCAGTGAGCCATACACTTGTGTCTCATTGCCACACATTCTTCAGTGGACACTTGGCAAAGGGCAGGGAGGGAAGGAAGTGTACTTGCCATTTTCTCTGTGGCGACCATGGATGGAAGCAGACATGAGGCCTGGGACACGAAGAACATGGTTGGAGGATTAGGGATCAGAGTCCCTGGGGGCCATAACACCTATGAAGATGGAGTGCCTGGCATGGCTGTCCTCATTGTGACAATGAGACACATTCATTGGGAGAGGCCACCCACCAAGCCCAGCCTGGTACCTGGCATCCCCAGCTGTCAAGTGCTCAGATGAGAGCCTGGCCAATCAGAGGACGTTTCCTCGAATGTCCATGAGTGCCCAGTACTCCCTGAGGGCCCTGGCCCCCAGGTGATTCTCTATGGGGAGCCTGAGCCTGGCACCTGGTCACAGTTAGCCAGTATGGCTGAATGCCACAGACAAGTAATAAGCTTGAGGATGGCTTCGAACTCATGTTGGGATTCAGGTCCATGTTGACCCAAAGTACTGTCATGACATGCTACCTTCTAGAGCAGTGTGAAATTCTCTACTTACCCTGTCCAGCACAGTAGCCACCAGCCACAGGTGGTGACTGAATGCTTGAAATGCAGCCAGGGCAACTGAAGAAGGAATTCGTAATTTCACTTTAATGAAATCACCACGTGTGGCCAGTAGCTACCAAATCAGACAATGTAGATCTAGAAGATGTCTCACGACCACAGTCTAATGAAAGGCCTTCTCATTTACCTGGAATGGTTACCCATTTATTGACAACACTGGGGACAGAGGAGCAGCAGAAGGTCCAGGACCCCTCTGCATGAGGCTCTGCAAGCACGCTGACAGATGCCCCATCCATGCAACTTTCATTTGGACCCAAGTCTTAGGAAACCTCTTGTGCTAGCCCCAAGACTCTTCAAGCCTCAGTGTTTCATCCATGCCCTGTGGCTCTGGCCAATGCTTGTACGTACCATGTGACCTTGGACTTGTTCCCCTCAGCACAGTCTCAAATTCTCCTACATGTGAGAACCTCCTTCTCTCTGTCCTGGCGCTGTATGGCTCAGACCCTTCTCCTCAGGCTGCTCCTAGGCCCACTGCCAGTACCGCCCACCCAACAGAAGGTGCCCAGGCAGGGGAGAACTTTCCAGCCGGGCACTATTGGTCTGGCTTCTGCCAGCCCAGCCAGGGCAGAGAAGAGAGGCACAGTGAGGAGCTGGGGAATGACAGGAGACAGTGAGGAGCCATCTGTGCACTATAGGTCTCTGCCCACCAGGCCCAGCCTTGGACAGTGCTCAGGCACTAGCTGCCATCACAGACATGGCACCGGTGGGGCTCAGGGAAGTACTTAGGTGCCATGGTCCAGTCCTCCATCCATCAGCTACTCCTTTGAGGGATGCCCTGAAGAGGTCACATGGACAAGTCACTGAAGAACAAATCACTTTCCAACCTGCTTTGGGTGGGTAGAGATCACCTTTCTCCCAGAGGGGAGATCTAGATGGAAATGCCAGTTTCTCAGCTTCCGACCCACAGGATCATCCCAAGAACCCCAGCCTCACCCCTGCAGGGTTTGCTGGATGGTCGATACAAGCACACCATGCCTTGTGCCAAGTGCAGCAAACACTTGTAGAGATGATATAACAGGTGGTGGGCGCGTGCAGACCAGACTCAGGAGCCAAGTGGCCTTTGCTCTAGATTTGGTTTTTCCCACCCACTGGCTGTGTGACCTTGAGCAAGTTATCCAGTCTCCAGGTCTCAGTCTGGCCGGCTGCAAAATGGTCATAATAGCAGAGTTTGCTTCATTGAGTGTGCCAATTAAGTGGAATTGGGGTTGTCTGCGAAGCCCAAGGTGACTATCATGATCACTATATCGTTATTGACATTCCTTGATATGCTAGCAACTTCTGACGGAGACAGCAACCATTACTGGAGACAGCACCCATCAGTGAATTATATGAGCCATCAGTTTAAAATCAGAAGGGAGTTCAAGTATGCTGACAGCTCGCTCAATGAGGGGGTGGGGCACAAATGGCCAGAGGAAGCTGGCTTCAAGAGTTCCAACCAAGCTCAGCTCTCAAAAGTCCTGGGGCTCTTTTCTCCTCCTAGGGAGCAACGGTCCCCCCCCCCCTACCAGCCATGCTCAGGGGGGCCATTGGAGCTGATTCCCTGACCCCTTGGCTGTCTCTCTGGCTTGGATTTGAGAATGCTCCCTGACTCAGGCCTGGCCTCTTCTGTTTGCTCTGGCTCTCAGGAATGATTCAACCTCTGAAGCTCCAGCTCAGAATCCTGAAATGTCAGTGCCGAGCTGGCTGAGGTGCACCCCCACCCCCACCCCTGGATGAGGGAAAGGACTTGGCCAAGGTCACAAAAACCATCCGGCCTGGAGCTGGCGCTACACTCTGGAGTTTCTATTACTAGAGCCCCGGGCAGCTCCCACAAGCCTCCTTTGCCCCTGATTGCCCCTGGGGCCTCCTGTAGCACCTCCTCTCCACACACACCCTCAGACTTGGGGGCTCCCTTCCCCAAGGACTGGCTCTCCTTCTGGCTCTGTGCAGAGCCCCTCCCACGCCACCCCATTCCCATCTGCCTGCCTTACCCCCTTCTGTGCCACAGCCTGCTGCCCCTCCACCCAAACCACCTGGCAGTGCTGGGCGTGGATCAGGTAGATCTGATGAAGGCTGCCTGTGCCCTTGGCCCTCCCCCTCCTCCCCCTCCATCCAGGCCAGCAGCAGATGATCGATACCTGGGGACCACAAGTGCCTGGCTCCTTCCAACTAGCCGGATCTTCAGAGGCAGACTGTCTTCACCCTGGGCTCCTGGGCTAAGCCTCAGCAGCACCCTGAGCACTCCTCTCCATCCCAGATCCCCTCTCATGAGCCATGCGGCCTTGGTTTCCTTGTCTATGAAGGGCAGGGGGGTGGGGGGGGGGTGGAGGTTGCAATGGAAATAGCAGCACACACATGTAATTGATGTGAAACTCAGTTGGGGGTCCAGGACCATGCTTGAAACCAGGGGTGTGGGGATGTGGGAGGAGCTCAGGAAGACTGGATTGACATGTGATTGCTGGAATAGCTGCCCTGAACCCCACAGGAGTGGTTCCTACGCAGGACAAAAGGGGCCTCCCTCCATTCATGCATGAGATGCACTCCCAAGCCTCCCCTCCACTTGAGGTCTCAATCATTCCATCTGAGAAATGGGGATAAGTAAGTATAAAAGGTTTTGCCCTCCCCCCCAGGAAATCTGCAGATTTTTACATGTGCTACACTAAAATCGAGTGCCCACTCTGCCGGGCTGTGCAGTTGGAGAGCCACTCCTCGCTTGAAGCAGCTCCCAGGGAAGGGAGGCCGGTGAGTGAAAGGGTTACATGTGACCCGCCAGCATGGTGCCCAAGTCCTTGTACACAGCCAGTGGAGATGGGTCTGGGGACCTGCCAGCCCAGTCAGACTCAACCCTGGGATGGGTAGGGATCCATGTTCGGGCCTCATTTGTGAAAGACAGCAGCCTCACTTACCAGTCTAGCTGTGGAAGAGCCAGGCATTTTATTGAGGCAATTCTGGTCCCTGCCCTGTCCTTGGAGTAGGTGAGCAAGGCAACAAACACTGAGTGGCCGAGAGGGAGGGGGGCATTTGCACTCTGTCTCCTCAAACCCGCCTGGAGCCAGTCCTTCCGAGTGGTACTGTGCACGAACTAGGCCCTGACCCTGCCTTCAGTTCCTCCTCAGCCGGCCCAGCCGCTCAGCCCTGCAATGGCCCACGGAAGGGATGAGAGCCAGTCCTAGAGAGAGGAGCCGGGCTTCCCGGGCTCCTAGCCGGAGACGCCACACGAGTGGCTCTAAATCCCGGAATGGGATATGTGGAGCCATCAGCTGTGAGAACACGGAGCCTTCGGAATCGCCGAGGCCCTCTGGCCAAGGTCACCCAGGTGAAGAGGGGAAGACAGCTGCTGCCAGAGAGATGGAGAAGGAGTGGCCCAAGCATGGCTGGGCCCGCTTGCTGGTGGCATTGCCCGTGCTAGCGGCAGGGTCAGCTGGGCAGCTATGTGGGCATGCAGGGGACAGTGTGGGAATGTGTGAGGAGGGGGAGGAGGAGGAGGAGGAGGAGGAAGAGGATGACACAGTGCGAGGGCACCGGAGAGGGGGAGGGGAGGGGGTGCCTTGAGGCTCCTGGATGGTGCGTGCGCACCAACCGGACTCCCCAGCCCAGGCCCGGCGCCCCGGGCCGTGCCGGCTCCTAGCCCCCGCCCGCAGCCCCCAGCGGCCTTGTTCCCCAGACGCAGATGCGCGTGCGCGCGGAGTGCGGGGCGCAGGGTGCGGGTGAGGGGCGCTGCCCGCCGGCCCCCCGGGGCCCGAGGTTGACGCGCGGCCGTGGTGCCGCAAGGACACGCAGGCCCCGGCGGTGGGGCGCAGGTGCCTTGGGCGGGGACCGGCGTCCCTCCACCTGCCGCCGCGCCACCTGCTGGGCTGCTCGCCCTCCCGCCCCCGCCCACCCGCTCCCGCGCCCACCCTCTCCTGCGCCCGTGCGCCCCGGGCACCACTTACCCGGGCACAGGCACAGCCACCACAGCGGCCTCAGCTCCGGCTGCCGCCGTCGCTGCGGGAAGGCACCCGGCGGGCAAAGATCCGCTCCAAGGACGGAAAGGCCCGGGCACGGGGCGGCCTGGCCAGCGGCGCGGAGCAGGACCCTCCGCGGCAGGGGAGGGCTGTGGCCGAGGGCTCCCCACGCTCCGCACGGGCGGCAGCGGGCGACGCGGCGCGCTCGACTCCAGCCGCAGCTCTGAGCGCGGAGGGAGGGAGGGAGGGAGGGAGGGGGAGGGAGAGAGCTGCTGGTGGTGGTGGTGGTGGAGGAGGAGGAGGAGGAGGAGGAGGAGGAGGAGGAGGAGGAGGAGGAGGAGGAGGGAGGGAGGAGGAGGAGGGAGGGGAGGGGAGGGGAAGGGAGGGGAGGGGAGGGGAGGAAAGGAGGAGGAGGAGGAACAGGAGGGGGGGAGGTGCATCGGTACACCACACAGGGGACACCGTGCTCTGGAGTCCTGCGCTTGGTACATGCCCTTCTGTCCCCAAGACTCCCGGAATGCCAGCTCTTCCTAGCCTGGCATTGTCCTCCAAGGTCACTGGCAGAGGAGAGGTGGGCATAATTGGGAACTGGGGGGCTTTGGCATCTGCTAGTGCACAGAAAGCCCCCCCGGCATGAGACGAGGGCACTGGAGGCCCTCCGCCTTGTAGGCTGTGAAGCTGCATAGCTCGTTTGTAGCACCGTGGTCCTTGGACTGCTGGTGCACTTCAGGGGCGTTGGCAGTTATCTGAAAACTGTCTCTAACTGTTGGGAATTCGACATCTAAACATATTTTCCTGGAGGGAATCTGGAATTTAAAACACATTTTCAAAGCCTGTGACCCCTAAAGGTTATCAGGCAAACAGTTTTGCAGATCATGGGACAATCACATACTGATGGACAGCTCAACACATCTACACAGGAGCCACACATCGGATGACACAAGTGAAGACAGATGGACAGAGAACCCCTGCTGCTCATACCCATCAACCCACCAGTGTGGGTAACATACCCACATGTGTGCCCTTGGGCCCGCAACGGGGGCTGCTGCTGCCATTTGTCTTTAGAGCCCCTAAGCTTCCCAGCTCCAGAAGCAACAGAGGCCTCTGAGCCTAGAAGCAGGCCTTGGCTGCTGTCTGGGAACCAGCGGTGGAGGGCCAGAAGCTAAGCCCGAGCCAATAAGAAGGCTCAAGTCCCTGAGTGAACGTCACCTGGTGGAGCAGGACACTCCTCTGCCCACTCACATACATTCATTCACGACACATACGTAGCTCACTCATGTACCCACAGATCACTTACACACATTCTCATGCTTATAACCTGGCTCATGTATACTCACTCATGGGCATTTGGTGAATCAGTCCCATGTTCTCACACTCACACCCATGCTAACAATTCTGTGTGTGTATGTGTGTGTGTCCACATGTGCCAGTCCTGGGGCTTGAATTTAGGGCCTGGACACTGTCCTTGAGCTTTTTTGCTCAAGGCTAGCATTCTACTACTTGAGCCACAGATCCACTTCCAGCTTTTTTAGTAGTAGATTGGGGATGAGAGTCTCATCGTCTTACCTCCCCAGGATGGCTTTGAATCTATATCCTCAGATCTCAGCCTCCTGATGAGGTAGGATACCACAAGCAGGAGCTACCAGTGCCCAACGTTCTTTACGTACCCAGTTACGCACACATAGGCACTCACAGTTCCTTCTGTATAATCACCTGCCCGCTCGTTACCCACAGCCTCACACGCACTCAACCACTCACACTTTTACACACCCATGTATTCCCCTCCCCACTCATTTGCCCATCCCCCACTTCAGCGTCAACTTCCAACATGGCAGCCAGAAGTTTTTCCTGGGCATTGGCTCTTTTGGGGCCCAGTGAGCTGGCTATCCAGCAGGCGAGGGAGTGGCCCCAGCTGGACATTAGGGGCACCAGTACAGGGGGCTGGAAGCCAGGCTGTCATTGGTTTTGCCCTTTGCAGCACCTCGGCTACCCTGGAGCCTAGGATGTGCATAGTAGGTGTGGCAGACTTCCTTCTTAGGGTCTGGGAGCACTGGGACACAAGTCACTGGGACCCTGTGAGTTTTCGCACAGACCAGAATAGGCCAGACAAAAATGGAGGCAACCCCCAGCTTTTGTGAGCACTTGACTCTAGGCACTATGCACCCCTTTGCCACCTTCAAGTTGTTCTTCTATTGTTCCATATTCCTTTTATGCCAAGTAGAGCAAGTTGTGAAGCTGGCTGTTCCCCCCTGGTTAGGAAATGGGTGCTACTAGCTCAGCCCCACTCCCCACATGAGAAGTAATATGAATGCAGGAGCATCTCCCAGGGGCCAGTGGTCTCCCACTTCTCCTACAGTCGAGCTGCCTAGCCCTCATGGCCTCTCGCTGGGCCGCAGGCTCCCTGCGTCATGTCTTTCCAGGCTGGGAGGGGGACAAGTTGCTGAAGTGACCCCTCTGTTGGACTTCTGGGAGCATCCCATAAGCAAACGCCTCCGTTATTCATCACCCTCTTAGCAAATATGTTGGCAGCTCTAAGAGGAAAGAAATGAATGAAGAGGGGCTAGGTAAGTGGCTCAGTGATAGAGCGCTTGCCTTGCATGCAGGAGGCCCTGGGTTCAATTCCTCAGCACCACAAAAGAAGAAAAAGCCGGAAGTGGTGCTGTGGTTCAAGCAGTAGTGCGCTAGCCTTGAGCTGAAGAGCTGAGGGACAGCGCCCAGGCCCAGAGTTCAGGCCCCACCACTGACAAAAAAAAAAAAAAAAGAAAAAGAAAAAGAAATGGGTGAAAACACGCAGAAAAGGGGCCCTGTGAAGAGAAAGGGGCAGTGAGCAGGGAAATGGCTGTGAGAGTGAAAAGACTCCCCTGGGAGCTTCTCTCAGAGACTGGGGAACATACTCATCACCCCCGGGGGCTGTTCATTTAACTGATGGCTGTTGTCCCATGTGGGGAATTGACATCAGCATGAGCCTCCTCTTAGGTGAAGTAACTCAGGGTACCCTACCATAAGCCCAGCTGGTCTCTTGCCAGGGAGGAAGAAGGCTGGGGCCAAGCGGGGGGGGGGGGGGGCGGTCCAGACATCCAAGCAAGGATCATTCGCTGATGCTCCTGTGCCTCTTCTTCTGGGCTGAGCCACTACCTAGGGCTGCCATGCCACACAACTTCATGATGAGTCCTAAGGCGAAGGTCAGATAGCCAGGGGAAAAAGGTGTTGTGCAAATCCCAGTCCTTACTGCATTGTGACCCCCAAATAGCTAATGGCCAGGAGCAGGGATGGTCTTCTTTTTATGGTTCTAGTCAATTTGTTCTCAATCAACATTGCCAATGTCACTAATGGCCCTTGTTCCCTATCTTGGATCCTTTATCTGTAAAGAAGGGTGGGGAGAGCTTTGCTAGAAATTTCTTTCTTGGGGCTGGGAAGGTGGCTCAGTGGTAGAGTGCTTGCCTTGCATGCATGAGGCCCTGAGTTCGATTCCCTAGCACCACATAAGCAAAAAGCAAAAAGCCGGAAGTAGCACTGTGGCTCAAGTGGTAGAGCTGAGGGATAGTGCCCAGGCCCAGAGTTCAGGCCCCAAGACCGGACCCCCTCCTGCCCCCCCCAAAAAGCAATTTCTTTCTTACACAGAACTTTGTCAATGGGAATACTTAGGGAGCCCATCCCAGAGAAGCTCAAGACTGGCCAGTGGTCCCGGATCTCCCTGATTCCCTGTACCTCCTTCCCCCCCCCCCCGGCACTGTCTTCCTTTCCTCTTGGTTGTCCTCTAGCCCCACTGTGCCCTGAAGCACAGGACAGTACACCTGGTATTCAGGGACCTTGGGGGTGCCCCTCTGGTCCTCCATCGTTCCTCCATTGTTGGCAAAGGCTAACCTCCAAGTCTGTCTCACCCTAAGAACCAAAACAAGGAGAACCCTATTCTTGCCCTGCCCTCCATCCTGGCCTCATACCCAGCTTTCCCTCTCACTTTCTCTCACTCACTGCGCTCCTTTTGTAGACATCTGCACCAGACATCTTCAACACTCACTACCCACACCTCAGTCATCACTCTGCCATCAGACCCTTTCCACATGGGCTTGTAACTGCACTGCTCTCCTGCATGGGCCTCTAGTCTATGCGTCCTCCTTGTCCAATTTCCCTCCTTTCATTTTTGAAGTGGCTAGCACAGCCTTCTCTGACAGCAATTCTGTGACATGGCCAAGAAATTGTCCCTCTGGCTAGACCCTGTCCCCTCCTCCTTATCACTACCTCTGGCTGACATCACAACCCCATCCCCAAGTCTTGGGGGTCACCAGTCAATGGATACTTGCAGCCCTGTAGTAAGCTGAAAATGCCCACAAAGATCCTCATTCTCAGATCTGGAATGTGACCTTATTTGAAAGTAGGGTCTTTGCAGTTGTAATTAAGTTAAGGATCTTGAAATGGGGAGATTATCCTGGATTTTCCAGGTAGGTCTTGTATATATTGACAAATTCCTTACAAGAGAGAGGTACAGACATACTTTGCACTCACACACAGAAAGAAATCACATGACAACAAAGGTTCAGTGATGCAGCCATCATCCAAGGAACCCGGAGTCACCGGAAGCTGAAAAACACAAAGCAGATTCTTCCCTAGTCCTTCAGAAGGAATACCTAACATCTTCACTTTAGACTACCACCCTGCCTCACCCTAAAAAAAAAAAAACTCACAAGAGTGTGTGTGTGTGTGTGTGTGTGTGTGTGTGTGTATATATATATATATATATATACATATATATATGTGTATGTATGTATATACATATCTGTTCTTTGAAACCACCAGATCTGTGGCCATTTATCACAACACAACAGCTCCATGATACTTACACCAGTCTCAAGTGGGTTTCTGAGAAGCTTTACCCTGCAAAGTCTTATCTACTGCACACCTTAGGTCTGTCAGCCTACTTGGCCTCAATAGACTCTATACCTGGGAATTCTGGAAAGCTCTGGTCAACTATGATATGTGTGTGTGTGTGTGTGTGTGTGTGTGTGTGTGTGTGTGTGTGTGTATACAATGAATTTGTGTGTGTGTGGTCCTAAGGCTTGAACTCGGGGCCTGAGTACAGTTCCTGAGCTTTTCTTGCTCAAGGCTATCACTTGAGCCACACCTCCACTTCCAGCTTTTTTGTGTGGTTAACTAAAGATCAGAGTCTCATAAACTTCCTGTCTGGTTTGTCTTTGAATGGTGATCCTCAGATTGCAGACTCCTGAGTAGCTAGGATTATAAGATGTGAGCCACTAACCAGCACCTAGTGTACCATGGTTTTTGTGTGTTTGTTTGTTTTAATGTGACTGCTCCTTTGCAGCACCAGCCTTGGGGACCAGCTAAGTTTCTAGGGCCCTATTCCCATCTCTGGCTAACCTATGCAGCATGCACCACAGTCCTTTAGCACCCAACATGTCCTAGATTCTTTAGGGCCCCAAGAGCTCTGTACTCTTCCCAGAAGAAGAAGGAAGGAAGGCATCTGCCTTGGTGATTGTGCACTGGCCCTGACATCCAGATCAGAAGGGTCTTTGCCTCTTCCTGTGGTGTCTTTCTGACATGAGGGTCCTTGCCAATTGGGAAGAGCCGGGAGACCAAAGAAGGGGAAGCGATCCAGCAATCGAAGAGCATCCCCCTCATGTTGTCAGAGTGGCCCTGCTTCCTTGGCTCTGAGGTTCCCCGACCCTCTTTAGATCCTTCAGGGAAAGGGATTGTTTCTCCAAGGGGTACTGCTCCATCCAGGCCCTGGCCCCAGATTCCTGGCTAGTTGCCCTACCTACAAGCTCTGACTTGTCTAAACCCCAGCAATGGATTTAGCTTAGGCTCCAGCTGGGACTCACCATATCCAGAAGGCACCTGATCTGCAGTAAGTGCTCAGAAATATTCCTTATCCCACCCCTATGCCGCCAAAGGTCAGTCCTTGGCAGCTACCCTATTCATAGAACAGCCCTCACCAGGGGGAGAGCTTTTTTGTGAGGCCCATTACCATGTGTGTGTGTGCATTTGTGTGATTGTCAGCTTGTCCTCTGACAGCTGCCCCAGCTTTGGGCTGAGTCCATGCCTGCCCCCCTGCCTTTCAAAGTCTGGTGCTCCCTGCCTCATGGCCCCCCTCCTGCTCCTACCTTGTGTCTGCTTGGTACATCAGGCCACCATGATACCATAACCCTACGCACACTTCTTACCTACTTCTTTCCTCTACTCCCATATCCACGCTGTCCCTAAGCCCAGGAGCTCCAATCGAAGCAAATATTGGGTGGAAACTTTTGCCTCCCTGGGCTCTATCTTGCCCATCTCCGTGGTTGAGAGCACAGCACCCCTGTGTCCTGCAGCTTCCGCAGCCTGACAAAGGTCAGCCCTCTGAACAAACCTCAATTTTTTCCAGTCCTGGAGCACTGTCTGAGAACTTCATTTTCTTCAAGGCTAGCACTCTACCACTTGACCCACACAGCCACATCCAGCTTTTGCTGTGTATGTGGTGCTAAGGAATCGCACCAAGGGCTTCATGCATGCGAGGTAAGCACTCTATCACTAAGCCACCTTCCCAGCCCCCAAACCTCATTTTTCAGCCCACCTGAAAATGAATATGGGGCCCGCAGGGGTAATCTGGATGCCACCGTGGGGATTTCCAAGTCATATTATTATGACCTGATAATAATAATGCGCAACACATTGAGAAGAGTGAGGCTCAGGAATTCATCTTTACACTGGTGAAGACCACTGGCTCTGAAAACAGAGCCCACCTTTTACCATTACCCACAATCCTGTGGGCTTCTGCTTGGGTGGCTCATGACCTCTAGTCTGGGCAGTGTAGACACTGCATGTGGGCTCCTTCCTGCCTGTATAGCCCATGGAACCTGTCCCCTGAGTTTGTGCTACTACCACTGCCGCACTTGTTTCTAACTTGGTAAAGGCAGAGCATGGGTTTATGGAAGCGTCATGAACTGAGAGGGAGACAGAGGAAAGGAAGATCGCGAGGGAGACAAGAGAAGGCGGATGTGCACTGGGGTTGTATTGGAGCTGCACAATGTCACTTGGCACCCCACTTGCACCCACAAAGAAATTCACTAAAGGTTCTGGCTGCTCCTTCTTCACACCAGCAAAGGGACTTGACTGAGGCCCTGACTCCTGGCCCCTGGCCAGTGCCCTTGCCCTGCGCCTGCCCAGCTCAGCAGAGATTGCCAGGCTGTGGAACACATGCCCCAGAATAGTGCTATGATGCTGCCGAGTGACATTCTATCGCTGGGCCACCACGCCGAGCGACGCCTCCCATCCCCAAAAGGAAAAACCTAGGGACGATAGGTGTCCCGGGTGCCAGGCCAGGCGTAAGGGCTGTGTGTGAGGAGCCACCTCTGGGCTCCACCTCCCCTGGGCTGCTGCCCATGCAGGCCCTGTCTGCTCTATTTTTGCTGCTTGCTCGCAGCCGCTCAGGGGAGCTCCAGCTGACCAGGAGGCTCCTCATGTAGGACAGAGAGAACTGCAGGTCAAGCCAGGGGCCACCTCAGCCCAATGGGCTTGCCTCCAAGAGGGCATGGCTCTAGGGACTGTCCCCTTCCAAGCAAGCCTTGTGTCCCTAGTGAGCAGGCTTCCCTGGGTGCAAGTGGATGCTTTGATTGCATGCAGGGCCCATGATGTGACCCAGCACCCAGGGGGACCCTGTGGAAGCACTTCAGGGGCAGGGAAAGCATAGCCAGGCTGGCATAGGCGGGTGCCTCGCTTACAGTGCCCTTGCTCTATAGGTTCATTCCTTCTGCCCCTTCTCAAGTGTTACCATGGGGACTGCCCACAGCCGTGACTAGTCAGGCTCTGGAATTATTCTGAGTTCTGTCAAGACAAGCATACAGGGCTCTACTACATTGCAGCTCCTTTCCTGATGGGAGGGGGTCCAGCCTGGTGCCCACAGCTGGCAGGTGCTAGACAAACACTCTGGGTGAGGGGGAAGAAAGATGCCCCCTCGGGCCTCGTCTGTTTCTGGAGTCCAGCTTAAGGATGGCTGAAGCGATGGAAGTGCCTAGAAAGAACGGGGATGTGGTCAGATTCTGGGCCTTGGGTCTGGTCACTTGGAACCTTTTCCAGACCTGGACTTGAGGGTAAGAAGAACTGCCTTCTAAGGGCAGACACGACAACAAAGACAAAGCGCAGGCACTCCGGGAAGGGCTAGAGAAGCAGAGCCTAGGTGGTAGATGAGGTGGGTTCTCGTGCGTCTGCTTTCTTTTCGATCCTCAGTGCCAGCCCACAACCAGTGGCACACAGAGCCAGATTGCACAGTTTTTTCTTTAATTGAAAATCAGCCGACTTCAGAAGCAGCCCTTCCAGCTGGGTGTGGCTGTTCACACCCCCAGCAGAGCAGGGATCAGGAGGAGAGGAAGCAAGACCTGGCCATCTTAGGGAGAGGGGTCGGGCCAATGAAACCTGGTGCTCGAGACTCTGGTGACAAGCTGGACCCCTCCTGGAAGGACAGAAGGCTTACCATTGCCTCTGTGGCCAGTGGAGTATGGTCACCTCCCTGGCTAATCTATGGAGGGATCTGGGCCTCCGATTTTCAAGCCCTTCCAGGGCTGCAGACAAGAACTCGGAAGAGTGGCCAGGGAGACAGCTGCCCCCACACTTGTTTGGGCAGGAGATGTAAAGCAGAGCCAGCCCAGGGCAGATGGGGTGTGTGTGTGTGTGTGTGTGTGTGTGTGTGTGTGTAACAGAGAGAGAGAGAGAGGAGAGAGAGAGAGAGGCCAGTCCAGGGACTGGTAGAGCAAGATGGCTGGGATGGACAGATGGTGAACTTGAAGGCAAAGCAGCCAAGGGCAGCAAGGAAGGCCCAGGAGAATGACAGAAGGACCATGTGTCCAGGTGAAGATGGCCATGGTGGAGTCTACTGTCTCCAACCCCACTAACTCCTTCTGCCCTGCAGACCCATGGACCATCTTTCCCTAAGGCTGAGGATGTCTGAGGATGAACAGGAAGAAAGCTTCATGGGGTGCCTCTCTGAGTGACCCCAGTGGGTGGGTGATGCATCTCTGAAGCTGAGGGGAGCAGGTGATGGGGGCCAGGTCTTGTGTCCACCTGCATGCTTGGGAGCCAGGAAGAGGCTGTGGTGGGGCAGCTAGTTGGGGTCAGGAACCAAAGGAGAGGGCTTTTCTTCCTTGCTTTGCCTTTCTCTCTGGGACATCTGTGTTCCTCAGAGACCCCCCCCCCCTCCATTGGGGCCACCATAGTGGCCACCACTGCCTCTACTTCTTATAGTTGCCAAACTGGATGGCTAGGCGGTCAGTGACACAGCGGAAGGTGGCTGGCTGCACCTCCCAGTAGGGCACGGGGTTGTTGAAGAGGCTGATGCCGTTGTAGTAGGCCCGCTTGACTCCAAAGCCTACAGGGCAGAAGTCATTGACGCCCACCTTGGTGATATTGTTGGAGTGCAGATAGACCACCTGGGGACAGAGAGATTGAGTCAAGGCTTGCTCTCAGGGCCCAGTTGTCCCCAACCACCTTCCCAGTCTGTTCCAACCTGGGTTGGTATTGTGGGTTGCAGGCAAAATGGAGGGAAGACGCAGGAGGCACTGGGGCCTGCCTCCATGCTAGGCCTCACTGCTGCTTCCTGGGCATCATTTAGTTCAGTGTAGTGGCACCACCCTTTGAGGGCCACGATTCTCCTCATGCTTTGGGGAGGAGGGAAACTGGGGTGCTGGTATGTTGATAGGTGTTGGCCATAATTTGTGCGCCAGGTATGGTATATGGTGAGTGAAGGCTTTCTGTGGATAGAATGGGGATTATGTTTGGTGGAGTGAGGTTATAGGAATCAGTCATTGATCCTGACCTGACATCTATGGAGGAAGAAAGTGCCTTGGCTCCCACAGGGTGCCTGGTCCCTCTTCTGCATTCCCGAGCTCCAGGCCTGCTCCCAGAGGAGCAGGCTCTCTCTTGTTATGGAAACCCATGGATCATGAGAGGAGAAAGGGCTTCATTCAAGGTGTTCTCATTTTTCACCCAGTCCTCAGCGGCACTCATGTTCTAGCAGCACCTCACCCTACTTCCTGAAGCAGCTCTCTTGGTGGAGCCAAGGAGTCTTGGATTAGTTCACTGGCAACAAGAGGTCTCTGGCCACTAGAGGGCGTCCTCAACCTGGCATGGGCCTTGCTGCTGTAGCAGCTGCATTGGCAGCATGGATGGGTGTCTGGTGAGGATGGCAGTGTTCTTACTATTGTGAGTGGGACCAAGGAAGAGATTTAGGCTCAGAACAAGACTGGGCAAGACCAAATTCACCCACACATCTAGAAGCCAAAGCAGGAATGGAGGCCCCTGTGAGAATACCGTAGATGGAGGGTGACATGTCTTTGTAAACAGAGAGCACTGGCACGAAGGGAAAGAGAGTGCACACTGCTCCTTCCAACATGAGATGAGGCTCAGAGATCAGAAGTGACTGGCCAGCTGCATGCTGGGCTCTGTCCTGCTCTCTGTCTCCACTCACCTGGAGGAGTTTGAGGTCTGGGAGCCCAGAAGGCACCCTGGATAGCTTGTTATTGTCTAGGTGCAGCTCCCTCAGGGTGGGCAGGAAACTTAGGCTCCCATTCTCTATCATCCGGATCTGGTTGTGGCCCAAGCCCAGTCTGCAGGTGGGTGAATAAGAGATACTCAGGGGCTGGAGGAGAGGACTGCGGGATGGGTACTGGGAGGACCCCTCCCTCACCCTAGGCCCTGCCCCTCTGGCTGATGGAAACCCAGAGCTCCCCTGGGCTGTTCCCACCTGTACAACTTGGAGTAGCGGAGCAGGTCTTCTAGCTCAATAGCCTGAATTTTGTTGTGGTCCAGATGGAGTTCATTCAGTGTCTCTGGGAGATCTGCCCAGAAGAGAGTAGTCAGAGGTGAATGCAGGGACTGAGGACAAGGAGGGGAGCAGGGGCCCCTTCTCTGCCCCAGGTGAGGGGGAGCCCTGCTGAGCCTTGCCTCAAATAGATGGGGCAGGTCCCCTCACTGTGTTGCCTGGGGGTGAGGCAGGGCAGGAAAGCAGGGCCACCTACCTTTGGGGATGCCAGTGAGCTTGGCCTCGGAGATGCGCAGGTAGTTGAGCTTCAGACCATCAAAGGCTCCAGGTTCAAAACCACTGTTCTCCAGGGGATTCCCACCCATTTCTAGGAGAGAGGCCATTCACATTGGAGCCACCCTGCACTTGGCCAGGGTCTGTCAGTTTCTGGGGCCCTGGCTCGCCTGCTGGGTGCTACAGATTGCAGGCTCCCTCCACCTCCTCCTGAAAGCACTTCCACAAAATGACTGGGAGCATCGCCAACCCCAGTTGTTTAAGACCACTAGCCCAGGAACCCTGGCCCTGATTTTTTGCCTTTAGGGACAGAAAAGCAAGAGGAAAGAGAAGAGCCAACCAGTTCCACAAGCTGGACCTGGTGGTAGTCCACAGTCTGAGGCCTTTCCCCTCATTCTGCTGCTCTCTCCCCTTAAATTGCAGTTGGAGGAAGATCCAGAAACACACTGTACTCTTAGATTGCCTTATTTTTTTTGGGGGGGGGGGGTCCGGTCGTGGACCTGAACTCTGGGCCTGGGCGCTATCCCTCAGCTCTTCAGCTCAAGGCTAGTGCTCTACCACTTCAGCCACAGCGCCACTTCCAGCTTTTTTCTTTTTGCTTTTGTGGTGCTGAGGAATCGAACCCAGGGCCTCATGCTTGCAAGGCAAGCGCTCTACCACTGAGCCACCTTCCCAGCCCAGATTGCCTTATTTTTTTGTCGGTCATGGGGCTTGAACTCTGGGCGCTTGGCTTTCAGACTGCTTTTGACAGTCTTGAACAGATCCTTTAAAGCTACCCTCCAGGATCCCTTTACCATATGCTGAAACAAACATGTGGTGCATTCTGTGAGGTGCACTGGGCTCTGCTGGAGCTGCTTGGGACCCTGCTTTCCTAGCCGATGCTGGAATAACTTCTGCACTAGGCTCAGCCTGCACTTACCAATGCAGTTCATGTTCCGGAGCCCACTGAACACCCCCTTGGGCACTTTGCGGATGCGGTTGTCATGTATGCGCAGCTCCACCAGGGAGCTGGGCAGATTGGGAGGGATCTCCACCAGGTGGTTCTTGGAGATGTAGAGTTTCTGCAGCTTCCGAAGGGGACTGAAGGCCTTCTCGTGGATCTTGGAGATCTTGTTGTTCACCAGGACAAGGGCCTGAGGCAGGGGCAGAGGTGACAGAGGTAAATGTCCCAACTCTCCAGCCAGTCCACCCTTCTCTCCCTTCCTCCTCTGCCTCCTGGGCTCCTCGTTGATGGCACTTGAGAGATGTTTGAGCCCAGCACAGTCTCAAGGTCAGTGTGTACTTGTAGGCAGAATGCAGAAGAAGCCAGCAACCATGTAAAGCTCTGAGCCCTAGCTATGTCACTACTGCCCAGCCCAGCCTATCACTCCTTGTACTCCGTTTCCCCACTTGTGCATTGTTTACAATGAAATCTTCCCTTTATGTGTTGCTAGGAGGAACCAATAAGATAAAAATATTTTCAGCCAAACAAGGAACTGACCTAAGTGTGCTTGACTTATTATATTCATACACATAAGCTACAGCCTCGTGAGCGCCCCCTACAGCCAGCTCCGGGCTTCTCTCAGTACTGCATGGAGCCCTGGGGTCCTCTCATACCCCTCACATATGTGCACACAAACCCTTCTGGACCCAAACCCAAACTACAGACTTCCCAACTTCTCCCAGTTCCTCAGATAGGCTTACATAGAGGTGCTGGAGGCCTTTGAAATCATCTTTGCGGAGCTCTGAGATGTCATTGTTCTGCAGGTCCAACAGCGTGGTGTCAGGTGAGATTTCCCTGGGTACAGTCTTCAGCCCTGGGAGCCAGTACCACAACATTAACATGGGCCCACCCAGTCTGGTGTGGAGGGATGGAGACACCAGGCACACAGGGACACACACACACACACACACACACACACACACACACACAGCACACAGGATTATTGGCACAAACATAAGGACTATGCTGCTAATGAGAAAAAGCTCTAGAGTTTGCAGGCCCCGTTTTTGTCTAAACACGTGGACACTCACACACACACACACACACACACACGCACACACACACACCATGACAATCCATCTTGTCGCTCCTCTCCTTTACTTGGGGCTCTCAGGCTGGGCCCGAGCCTCTTGGTACATTCCCACCCCAGCTCCCCAGGGACTGACCCAAGTCAGAACACTGAACAACCCGCAGGTGACAGTGGCAGCCAAAAGGACACATGGCGCTGAAGGTGGGTGTGACGGCGTCCAGATCAGGGACACCCGAGGTCGTGTCGGCACCTGAAGCCTCCTCATCATTCATCATGAGCAGCCCATCATCCAGGGTGAAGTCCCAGAAGCCCTTTTGCTCAAAGGGCAGAGCCTGGCTCAGGGCCAGCAGAGACACGAGGAGCCACAGGGGTCGCATGGTGGTTGTCCCTGGGAGCCAAAGGTGAAGAGAGGGTCACGAGTCAGCAAGAGCACCCCCTTTTCTACCAGTGTCTCCACCATCAATGGCTGCTGGTGGTGTGTGCACACGCATACTTGTGTATATGTGCGTTGGCACCGGGTCCCGCATTCCTCGCACCCTGGTAGGTGCGAAGTAGCAGAGGGAGGAGTGATGGGCAAGAGGCGGGACTTGGTTTCATAGGCAACAAAATGTCTTTCCAATTAGCTGTGAGCCTCCCTCCCTGCCCCTGAGCTAACCAGATCCTGTTTCGTGTTTCGGGTGGGTGGATGGTGTCAGTGAGGCCAAGTGGAGGGGTAGAGGGAAAATCCAAGCATTAGCCCCTTCAGGCCACCCAGTTTATCCCTCCAGAGCTTCAGGCTCAGGGTAATTGTGATGCAATTAGTTTAATTAGGTGGCCATGAGTCATTTCCTTCCCTGCCGGAGCCCCTCCCCCAGGTCCACATTTTTTTGAGAAGGGCCGGAGGTCAAGGCGCACAAGGCCTGCTGGAGAAAGAGAGGCATCCTATGAGGTTGCAGAGGCGAGGGGGACAGGCCACTGTCCTCCCCTCCCTCTCCCCTTCACCCTCCCGCCCCCCCTCCATTCCACTGGACCTCAGCACACAAGAACTCTTGGCTCCAGATCTGCCCCTGACCTTCCTTTGGGCCCATGACCCTGGAGAAGCTCCCAAGGAGAACAGGCTGCCACCAGGGTAGCAGGGCAGGGTCAGGCTTGTCTGCAGGCTCCCAGGGCTGAGGCAGCTGGGAAGGGGCGGAGGAGATGCTGCTCTGCCTGAGCCTGCCCCAGCATCTGCTTGCTTCTTTCTTCTCCAGCAGACACTGACCCTGTCCAGGGCTTAGTCTGCCCAGACACCTAGAACATATCAGGCAGGGCCAGACCTTCTTCCTTTCCAACCATCCTCACTCCCTGGCACAGGTTCGAGTTTTGTTCTGGCCTCATTCTCCCCACCTGTTGGGTGGACAAAACCATGTCAAATCAGCTTATCCTTCGGGCATGGATGTCTGGGGTTGCCTGTGTGCATCTGTGGACACGGAACCTAGCTGGCCACCAGGGAACTACGGAGATTCAAAGTAGCCCACTACAAAGAAGCTTTCATTTGTACTTCATCCTGGCAAGGCAGAGTTTGGCAAGGGGCGGGCTCCATGTGAGTCCCCTGGAGTCTCAGCATTGAAGGCAAAGATACAGGAGGTTGTAGGGAGTGGCCTTCCTGGGCAGGCCCAGGGGACAAAGGAGCTGTGGCTTTGGAGTCCTCGGTACCTGCAGGGAGCTAGCCACCTCCAGGCTTGCTTGAATCTGGACACAAGCATTGCACCACCAGTTGCTGTCCATCCTGAGAGAAAACTGGCCCGTGCTGCTGCCTGGGTACTGCAGAGAATATCCCCAGCGTATGTCCCCCTGAGTGGCTCACGGGGCCTGACCTGGCTCCCACCCATTCCTTGGATGGAAGAGCTTGTGTGCAGATGAGAGTGGCAGCTGCCTCCAACAAGTAGCTTCCTTGGGCCCTAAGATCCTATAGGAAAGCGAGGGGCAGAGCCCAACACTTAGTTCTGTTTCCCTCTCGCATATACATATGGGCCTGGTACAGACTCCTGAGGTCAGAGAAAGCCCCCTACTGAGGAGTGCTCCACCTCTCTCACTCCTTCACTCCTTTGAAAGGACCCTTGCGATGCTATGTATGGCCGCATCGGAAGACTTGCCAGGCCCAGGTGGCCTGGCAGGACCCAGGGTACCCCACCAGAAGTATTGGCCCCAGAGTGGGTAGAAAGACCCGAACTCGCCTACCTAAGTGGTGTGTTCCCCCTTCTTCTCCTTGGTTTACAGCCTCATGGCAGGGCCAGGTTGGACAAGGCCTCCTGTGCCTGCTTCCACAGGCAGGGCCCTTGTCCAGGTGCAGGTGTGCACCCGAGGAGTTGCAAGAGAAGCAGGAGCAGTGGGAGAGCAGGAAGAGGAGGCCGAAGGCAGCACAGCAGTTGGAATGGAAGCCAGGCAGGAGCTGCCTCCACGGCTGCCCTGGCTGAAGCTGAAGCTCAAGCTGCTACCTCACAGGAGGATGAGTCAGGACTGGCACAGCTGCCCAACCACCCGCCTCCTGGGTGGGGCCTGGGACCCAAGTCTACCTGGCTGGCTGAGGATGGGGAAGCCCAATGCAGTGGGGAAGGTAGGGGCCGAGGACCATCTACCCATAGCCAACCTGGAGCCTCCAGATCTGGGGGCTGAGGTCTCCCCAGGACACTTCTTTTTTTTGGGGGGGGAGGGTCCGGTCATGGAGCCTGAACTCTGGGCCTGGGCGCTGTCCCTCAGCTCTTCAGCTCAAGGCTAGCGCTCTACCCCTTGAGCCACCGCACCACTTCCGGCTTTTTTCTTTTTGCTTATGTGGTGCTGAGGAATCGAACCCAGGGCCTCAGGCATGCAAGGCAAGCGCTCTACCACTGAGCCACCTTCCCAGCCCTTCACAGGACATTTCTGTCCCCACCAAGGAATCTCCTCAAAGGCCACACGTGGCTTTCCAGACATGAGAGAGATGAAGCTCCTCCACAGGCACTTCCAGAAAACTGGGCCATCTGCTTGGGCGAGGACTCCCTCCTCCAGGGGAGAGGATATCCAGGCCCTGGTACAGCCTTGGGACAATGGGGTCCCTAGAGGAAGTTCACCAGCTCTGAGCAGACTTGCCTGACGTCATAGTAAGTGAAGGGGCTCCCAAGGGGCTGAGAGTCCAGCACTCTGCCTGTTGGTTCCGACTTGGGCTCATACTGAGGGTTTAGAGACTGAGGGCTGAGAGGCCCACAAACCAGAGCCCCATGATGGAAGCAGGACAAGGTTTGGCAGCTGTTGTAGGACTCATGACTGAACTGCTGGGGGCGAAGTGAGCTTCTTGGCACAGTCCTCTCATGATCTCAGCAACACAAAGCCTACAGGATGTGGCAAGGGATCTCACATAGCTGAGACCCCAGAAAGAATGTTTTTCTGACACTGGCATCTGTAGTACCACTTCATAGATGAGAAAACTGAGGCCTAGAGAGAAGAACTGATTTCTCCCAAGTCACCCCCAGTCACTCGGCTCATTCAGCTACCCTTGGGTTGTAGGTAGGGCTGTCTAGTAGGAGGCCCAGGGCTCACAACTGGGTAATGAGGACAGCCAGGGGAAGAATCTCCCTTGTCTGGTGGTGGTAAACGTCAGGGTATTGCAAATCATCCTTGGTCTCCTCACACAGGAAGCAACCCATGGGCAGACACTGTGAGACCTACATCAAGTCCCTCCCCTCCCCACCTCCCCACCACCCATGGGGCCTCTGGGTCTCAGTTTCCCTTCATCGACCCTCATGGAGGTTTCCTTAAGCTCCATCAAAGCCAGCTAAGTCTGCTGGATGCCACCTCCTCAGAGCAAAGGAAAGAAGTGGTCATCGTGGTGAGCCTCAGCTTGGCGACCGCAGATGGCAGCAAGGGAAGAGGCTGGGCTTCCTGGAGCCTTTGCCACCATCTCAATAGGGCCCTCCTTGTCTGCCCCTCTGAAAGCCAGCGCAGTCCTCTATGCAGCATTGCTCCAAGTCACAGCTCAACAAGACACGCTGGCAGCCTCTGAAAACATGGAGGGGCTGTGCCAGGCATTCAGGCAAGGCCAAGGGCGGCAGGAGCAAGACTGGAGGTCTGGCAGGCCTTAGGCACTCGCCTGCAGATGTGTCGCTGGCAGCTGCCAAGGAGTAGACGCTGGGCTCACACTGTACAGCTAAAGCTGGGGCATCTCCAAGAAATGTGCTGCCCTCTGCACAGCCCTGTTGAGCCTCTGGAATTTGGGGAGTGGGAGAGGGTGACAGGGAACAAGCGTGGGTGGCCTTCTCCACTCCTCTCTGAACACCGAGGCTGTCTGCAGCTTCAACCAAGAGGCTGACACCTGGCCTGGTCTCTGGGACTGTCCTGATCTCCCCTAGGCTCCAGCCTCTGCTTGAGTGTTAACTAGAGCAAAGGAATGTGCATTTCCCAAGGCCCTGCCGAAGGCTGTGTGTGTGTGTATGTGTGCGTGCATGCGTGCATGTGCACGAGTGCATGCGTGTGTGCACAGCCATGTAAATGTGCATGTGGAGGTGGGGATTGGAGGAATGACCCTGAGCCCCATCACATCTGCAATCTGGGCTACACACTGAACTCATGGCCATTGTCTCACGTGGCAGCTATGGGATAGATCCCCAAGGGTGACCACTAGGGCAGCTGTTTCCTTTCATGGTCCTGGCACTGCTGCGGTGGTTGGGCAGAGTTGGGGCATGTTCTCAGTCAGTCTTGGGAGATGGGCTGTACCTAAATGTCGCTCTTAAGAGGCTTCAAGGAGCAAGCACAAGGGAGCTGTCACGATGGCTGGGTGCATCAAGGGAAAGTTTTCTATCCCCTGCCCTAATGTACCAAGACACTTCTGGAGTCAGACAGAAGATGATGCTGGTTGGCTGAAGGTTCTAGGCTGTCTGGTCTCTCTTCACCTGAGCCAGGGCTCTCTCTCCTCTTTCTGGTCACTGAAGAAATCTAGGCTCCTACTTGCCATGTGTTAGACTCTTCGGAGAAGAGGGAAGATACTAGCATCTCCCAATGGCAGGGCAGGGGATTTGACAGACTTCTTCACCTAGACACCCTCCCCTTGTTGACTATAAGAAGGAAGCTGTGCTTTTAACATGTGCTGGAGGGATAAATGAAGCTCAGAGAGTTTGCCCCCAAACCCCTGCCCAAAGCCACAAAGTGAGGAAATGGTACAGCTGGGATTGCATGTAACCACCCAGCTGCCAGTGTCATCTCACTGCCAGGGAAGGAGAACAGCCGGGCAACCGGGTCCCAAGACCAGAGAGCCTCTTTGCTTCCTCGGTATGGGGCTTCCTACCGTCTCTCCCAGGCAGGACATTCCTCCTACTCCCTTTCAAGGGCTCTGGCTGAGGTGAGATCTAGCTCTCTTTAGCCAGCCGGGCAGGCTAGGATCCCGTCCACCTTGAAACCTCCCAAGGACTGTGGGGGCTCCTTGCAGTCAGAGTCCCCTAAAGCCACTTCTGGGGCTCTTCTGACGCTGAGCAAGAAGGCATAGGGCAAGAAAACAAATGGGGAAAGGCTGAGGTTGCACTTAGAGTCACAGAAATATCCAAGGAGGCTGTCAGTTCCAAATGGGGGACAAAACACAAAATTCCTGCTTCCCAGAGGCAGTGGCTCAGCAAGCCCCAGCCTTCCCCTGAGAACCTGAAGAAGCTAGTTATTTCAGAAGATGAGAAAAGCTAAGCATGGAGCAAGTCTGAGCTGCCCTCTCCTCTCTGCTTACTCCCTGAAGGTTCTATAGGTCACAACTTATACTGTAGCCCCTGACCTCCCCTGGCTCAGTGTCTGAGGCCATGGAGGAAGGAGAGCCCTTGGGGAGGGGAGATGTCAGGGGATAACGCAGGCTCCAGTGGGCCAGGGATGAGGCAGCATCAGAGCCTGCCAGACCCTAGGTTGGTCTGTCTACAGAGCGCCTGTGCCTACCCTGCACCCTGCAGCCCGTGGCCAGGTGGGAGAGGGCAGCTCTGCCACATTGTACCACTTGGTGTGAGTGAGGTCCCTGTGGGCTGCACCCCTCCCCTCCGAGGTGTGAGCCTAGGCTGCCAGGGACAGCCTGCTGCCTGGACTGTGGGGGCAGTGGCCAGCCTGGGAGGTGGGCGGGGCAATGCGGAGGAGGGCTAGGAGTAACTAGAGAAGAGGAGCGGGAGGGGGTCGTGATGGGTGTGGGAAGACTTTGTAATAATCAGTGGTGTTGTCAGAGGTGTGAGGCTCCAGCAGGTGCTGGAAAAGGTAGGCTAAGAATCCCATGGGACAGAGAACACGTGATTCCTGGGACAAACTAATGTTACATGGTCTCTATGGAGTAGGTGGGCCCAGAAGATGAGTGGAATCCCATCCCCTCCCTACACCCCCACACAGAGTTCCAAGAAACCAGAAGTCCTTAGGGAAGGTTCCAGAGGGGCAAAGTGCATAGTGTGGCCTCATTCCAAATTCCTCTTCTTGGGACTTGGTACTGTCCCTGGAAGAGATACTCATTGGCCTTGTAAGTGACTTCCAGCATGTAGCTAGAGGAAGTATCCCCTTTCCTCCTGCCCTTTCCCATCCGTGATCCCACAGCCTAGCGCTGCAGGAGGGACTGGCTTGGAGCAGTGCTGGCAAGTCATCCTGCACACACAGGATGCTCAGGGCTGGCACTCCTCCTCCCAGGACCCCTAGGACGAGCCTAGCTGCTGCAGACTTCCCAGCCACAAAGTGGGCCCTGGCCCCTGCTCTGAGGATGGTGCCGAAGCAATGGCAGAGTTAATCCCTCCTCCAAGTTGGGTCCCTGGACCAGTGTGCACATAGGCCACGAAGGCTAGCTGGCCACACCCAGCTGCCTAACTGGCCACAGGAACCCTCTCTGCTTCCTGATTCAGAGCCAGCCTTTGCTGCCCAGCCCTAGTGGCTTAAAGGCAGCCGTGTGTCTTTCTGTCCATACACATCCACAGATCTGCCCTCAAAGGCTTCCCACTGGCACACAGCCACCATATACAGGCATACTCTACACAAAGGCATCCCTGCCCTCCCACCTCTCCCAGGCTGTGGGAGACACAGTTGAGTATATGTTACCCAGAGGTATTCACCGGTACCCATTGGATGCAGGCCCCTGGGACTCTACCTGGTACTTAAGGATAATTATTTGCTTGTGTCCATCTAAATCAGCCACTACAGGGCAGAGAGCAGGCAGGCCAGGGAAGGACAAGGCACAGAGGCAGGAGCCCCAGGGACAGGACCTGAACTTCCTGGTGGGTAGTCAGGAGAGCAGGCTACCTGTGAAGACTGTTGGAGAATAATGTCCCTGGCCTCAATGAGATCGTCCCTGCTTGCCTCACTTGTGGCTCTGCTGTGAAGATGCAGCTCCTCCTGCTCTGGGCAAATGGGCACCTGGCCACACCCATGGAGCAGCCAAAGGGTGCTCTCATTCCTGCAGAGTCCCTGGGCACTTGGTGGACACCCAGATGGCTCTGTTCTCTCTTGTTCCCTCTTCTGGGTCCCTTGGCAGGCCCCTCTAGGGCCCCAAGCCAGGGCTGTCGCTGAGAACATGGCACAGTATCCTGATTTCCTCTTCTCCTACTTGTCCGCTGCCCATTTGGAGTCCTAATTCCAGAGGGACAGGACAGAGGCACCCAGGCAGGCCCACCTAGGACCCCTGTAGCTAGGGCTCTGTGGACCCACACCTCGCCCAGGAGAAAGCAGAGGAAGTTCATTGCCCTGTGGTAAGCGAGGAATATCTAGGCAGGGTGCCTGGGCTGTGCCTGGGAAAGCAAGGCTCTCAGCCCATGCCAAGGAATAGCCTGGGCAGCAGGGGACTATTTGGGTGCTGAGCTCGGCGGGTGCCCCAGGGCCTTCCTGACCCTGGCAGGCACAAAGCCCTAGAGTGATGCTGGCAGCAAGTGGAGGGTGTCCTCCTTGTGGCTGCTGGTGAACAGACAGGGCAGTTGACAGAGCTAGGGTGCCAGCCACCCAGCCAGATGGGTGGCAGGGTGCCCATGCTGAGGCAGAGAGCAAGAGGTGGACAGTTGGCAGTGAGGAACCCCCCCATCCCCCCTGCTGCACACACATCCCAAGGCAGAGAACAAGCGGTCCGTACAGCTTGGTGGTTGGGCAGGCTCAGAAGGGAGAGGGAAGGGAAGGGTGATAAGGTGCTTAGAAGAGAGAGGGGAGAAGACACAGACATGGGACAAGGACCAAGGGGGCCACAGGGTGGCGGTGAAGGGGCATGAACCAGGAGCTTCTGGGGGTGCCCAGGGGCGGGAAAGGTAGTAAGGGGCAGCAGAGCCATGGACACTGGGGAAAGCGGGGCCACAGGGCAGGGCAGCAGAGGCAGCAGAGTTGCGGACAGGACAGAGGAGCCAGGAGTAGAAGAGTGAGCACAGATGGAGGCCAGTGTCTCCGAGGGAAGGTGGCCATATGTGAGGCTGGTGGGGGTGGGGGGCCTACCTGGGGCGTGGAAGCAGCCAGGTGCAGGCTGCCTAGTTGGTAGGCTAAGATGTCAGGCTGTCCAAGTGTCTGTATCAGGCCTGGTGGACCGAGAGCAGCAGCTCACTCCTGGGCAGTTCTTGGAGAGAGGGAGACAGAGGCGGTGGGAGGGAGGCTAAAGGCTGGGCGGGCGGGCCGACAGGGAGGGGACGGCAGGGAGGGGGCGGGGAGGGAGGCAAAAGGGAGGGGGGCTGGTAGAGTGGGGAGGGAGGGCGGGTAAGAGGGAGGGGGCAGGCTTTCCGTCCCCCCTGGCAGCTTCAAAGGGAGCAATTTTCTTGTAGCTGGCTGGGCTAGCTTTACCCCTCCCCCTTGCGCCCCTCACCCCGCCCCCCCAGGCAGATTTCAAGAGGACACCACACACACACACACACACACACACACACACACACACACACACACACACACACACAAGGACCCTTGGCGTCTCTGGACAGGCACTGACTCAGTCAAACTTTCCACTGTCCAGATGGGGACACTGAGGCGCTTGCTGCACTCAGTGGGCAGAAGAAAGTGAGAGGGCAGAAATGGGAGAGGAGGGGGATATGGCCTCCCATTACTAGGCCAGTGAATGGCTCCTGAAATTCTGTCCTAATTCCACCCAGAACTTTCCTTCTGCCTGGCTGAAACAAGAAGGTGGTTTCTCTGGGGTTAGAGAGGTAGCTGTTGTGGATTTCTGGAAGGGCTTGATCTAGTCTCCTAGCCTCCCTGAAAGCCTTCCTTCTACTCCAGTCTTTCTTCCTTTAACAGGAGGCAGTGGTCCTGTCTGGGTGACAGCAGGAAGGGAACCAGCTTGGGGCTGGCAGGAGGGACTGGCAGATGTAGGGAGTGGGGTGGGGGAGCTCCCTGGCTTGCCTGCTCAGAGGCTTTAGAGAAGCTGAAAGGCAGGAGAAGCTGTACTGGGAACACTGACTCAGAGAAAAGGAAGCCAGACAGTCATTCTCCTTGCTCAATCCCAGCAGCCCCCCTAGGACATGATAACCGCTCTCTGAGTGCAGAGCATTTCCTCTGGTCACTTTCAGGGACTAAGTGGGCCAGCTTGCCAAATCTTAGCCAGCCACTTCCTGAGGGCCAGAGTGAGCCATCATGTATAGCAAGGCACCTCCTCTCTGTCCAGTGAGGACCCCCCCCCCCCGCCCAGGGACACCAAGGTGAGGCCCCAGATGCAAGAAGTGACCCTGGAGAGCGAAGGGTGGGGGAAGCGCAAACAAGAATATTGCTGGGCAGGGCGTCGGTAGTTCACGCCTGTAATCCTAGCTACTCAGGAGGCTGAGATCTGAGGATCGCAGTTCAAAGCCAGTCCCGGCAGGAAAGACCGTGAGACTCTTATCTCCAATAAACTACTCAGAAAACTGGAAGTGGTGCTGTGGCTCAAGTGATAGAACACTAGCCTTGAGCTGAAGAGCTGAGGAACAGTGCCCAGGCCCAGAGTTCAAGCCCCAGGACCAAAAAAAGAAAGAAAGAAAAGAAAGAAAGGAAGGAAGGAAGAAAGAAAGAAAAGAATATTGCTTGAAGAAGGGCAAGCTGTCAGGGGCGGGACTGGAGGGAAGGCCACTGGAGAGAGACAGGGGTGAGGGATCAGAATCCTGTCACTCAGTCAGGGGCTGGAATGGAACTTCCTCAACTCAAGAAAGAGGCTCCCAGGAAGATTTTACCTGGAGCCAGGATCACCGCAGGGCCCAGCTGTAGTATCTGGCTGCAGAGAAGAGAGAAATGGGTCTAGATTGGGAACCCTGAGTTCACTTGTTTTCATGGTCAAGACAAGGCAATTGGATGACGATACAGTAACCCAGGCAGACCAGGGCTTTTGTCTGCTGGCTTATTCCTGTCACTTTTTTTTCTTTTCTCCTTCCCTTCCTTTGTCTTTACAGTGCTGGGGATGGAGCAGACTCTAGGCCAGTGTGCTAGCACTCAGCTACACCTCCAGATTCAGCTTTTACTTTTCACTGTATACATGCTCAAACGTATCTGTGGTGAGTGCAAGTGTAATGTCACCAATGCTAGGGAGTCTCAAGGAGCCTCAAGCTACCCGAACTCTGCCCCCCGCCCTTGTCTAATCTCTCTCCCAGTTCCACATTGGATTTGGACCCTGGTATCTACTCACTCATGCTAAACGTGTCAGCAGACATCAGGGCAGAGGCAGAAAAGGGTCTAAAACCATGTACTGAACCTTCTGCTTAGTGACAGCACCCAATAGCAAAAGGCCACATTGATGTCCGGTCTTAGTCATTTGAAATAATCAGCATAGACCCATCAATAGAGAGAGAAAACAAGTGGGAGGGGGATGGAGGAGTGATAGCTGAAGGTATGGGTCCCCCCATCCCCTCACATACACGAGCTGTTGCACAGATCTTAGGCCTCCAAGAACCCTAGCAGGGAGAAACAGCCCTGAGGACAGTGCTCAGGGTATAGTGGGATCCCAGGAGGGAGCCGTCATGGTCTTCTCTGGGGACTCCCAGGGCAGGACTGTGAATGCCATGAGAAGACAGTGGTTCTCTTGTTTCTGGCCTCCCTAGGGCCACACATAGCACCAGAAGCTCAGAAAGACTTCCTGGAGGTGGCATGAACAGACCAATAGGCAAGCGGGAAATTGCCCTGAAGCAAGTTGGGGAACAGCAGCATGAAGACATCCTACAGGTAAGCAGTAGCCAGTCCTTCTCCAGGACAGATCTCACCCTCAGGTCTTGGTCTTGGGTGTTTCTGGCAGGGTCTTGGAGTAATGATGTAGCAAGACCTGGCATGGGGACCAGGGGGTGGGGAGGGAAGCCCAGTATACATGTTGAAGTTGGGGATACATCTGGGGCAGTATTTGTATAAATATGGTTTTTGTGCCTGCCTGGAAGGTTCTTGTGTCTGTGGTTTGTAGTCTGCAATAAGCTATAAGTGCATGCCCAGCCCAGGCCCACTGAGTCACTCAGCCTGGCCCTCTAATTTGGGGCTCATTCCCAGAACCGTCAGGCAGCACCTCAGTCCTCGGGCTTGCTCTTCCTCCTTTCCTCTTCTTCTCTCTTCCTCAGGTCCCACATGTCTAGAGTACAAGGATAACTTGGATCCTAGCTGAAGCATGGCTGGGCACAAGCCATCTTTCCAGCCAGCAGAGTAGGAGCAGGCGGCCTACTGCCCTCTGTCCTCCCGCAGCTGGGAGGAGGTGGGGAGTGAAGAAAACGGGTGTGTGGGGGTAAGGCAGGAAGGAAGAGCAGGAATTTCCTGAGGCCCCTAGGATTCCTGAGGAGGAGTCAAATGCACAGCTGTCTCAGTGCCCCAGGGACCAGTGACAGACTGAGTTCAGAGCCCAGCCCATGTGTGACTCTACACCATCACGAGACAGGCGTCCAAAGCCCTCCATTGTATGCCTCCCCAGAGGGCTAGAGGTGGGGTAAGGCCTTGCTGCTGTCACCAGCCCACTTGCCTCACCTGCCTTTCAGCCTGGGAAAGCCCCTTCTCTTGCTTCTTGGCCCTCTTCACTTGAGAAAGAGTCTAGCTCCTCAGACTCGTGGAGTGGGCAGCCAGCTCTGCTGCTGGGGAAAGGGGTCTTGCATGGGCCAGGCTAGGCTATATCCTGGCCTCCTTCTCTAAGCAGCCTTGACCCTCACCAGGCAGTCTAGGGAAGAGCATTTGGCAGGTGCTGGTGGAGGGCAGGGCAGAGGACGTGCACCAGAGTCCATGCTTGAGAGGAGGAGGGAAGAAGGGAGGAAGGGAGAAGAAGAAGAAGAGAAAAGAGCAAGAAGGAAGGAGGGGGCCAAAGAGGAAAAGGACTGAGGAAGGGAGGCTGCCTCTCCCTGAGCAGGAGCGTCTCAGCCAGCCTCTACCTCCTTGGCCTGTGTCTGAAGGAGCGGCGTCAGCTGCAGCACATCCCCCTCACAGCTGGCTTGCAGCTGTTTGTGCCTTAGCTAGAATGGGGAGGCTCGGGAAAGAAGTAGGGGCACTCAAAGGGCAGGCCTCTGGTCTCCTTTGGGCATGAGACATTGGCCATTAGACTGAGTCCCTGGAGGGGAGGGTGGGGAGACTGGCAGGTGCTCTGTGGGGAGAGCTTCCAGAGGCTGGTAGAAAACCCTCCACAGGGGTGGCAGCTGCTGAGAAAGCTGCCACCTGGAGATCCACCCATCTACCTGCTGTCCTGCCTGTGGGAAAGGAAAGACCAATGCCTGTCTTCCTGCAGAACAGAGACCTGGGAAGCAGAGGAGAGACCTGGGAGGCAGTGGCGATCTACTGGGAGGGCATGAGACAGGTAGGAGATCTGTCCCTGGAGAGGGTCCATGCTGTGGGACCATGAGCCAGGACATGCCTGAAGAAGTCAGAAGATGACCTAGGAAATGGGGGTGAGGGGTGGGGCTGGGTGGGAGGAGGCCTAGACAGGAACACACATCACAGGTATATCAGGGGTATTTCTTGAGCAACCAAGCCTGCTCAGCATTGCTTCCCAAATCCACAGCCTTGCTAGGACCTCTTTGCCCCCTCCAGCCTGTCAATGCCCACAGTCTCAGCAGCTGAGCAGGGGCAGGTGAGCACCAGACCCACAGATCCAAAGGGTGTTCCACACCACCACCAGTACCACCAGCATGAGAGCAGGTGATATAAGGTGGCAGAGAATGGACGCTCCCAGAGACCCTTTGGGTGCAGGGAGTATGACAGTTAGGGACATGGTTTGAGCCAAATTGCTCAAGAGGTAGCATCTGAGGAGGTACTAGTAAGCCAAGCCTCCACTGTCTGGAAGCTTCCCAGTGCTGATCGCAGAGGCGTGGCTGGCGAAAGTTGGCACTGTGCATGCCAGGAGCTTTTTTTGACCTTCCCCTGAGGACATAATCACATAGCATCACCCCCCTCCAGGCCACCAGGGCTGTAATTTCAGGGCCCAAAGGGGGCTCCTTGAAGGCCCAGCCTGTGTCTAGCTATCTTTAGAGGCATGGCCTGAGCCGTGGCCAGAGGAGGAAAAGTGGATTTGGCTATGCTGTGACCCTGTGGATGATCTGCCGAGCAGAGCAGCTCGAGGGAGTGGACGAAGCACCTAGGACAGTGGACTCTCTCCTGGCACAAGGAAGGACCCAAGCATGCTGCCTTGGCTCTGCCTGCAGCCTGTAGAACTCAGAGGCTTTAAGTGGGACCAGGGAGAGTCTGGCCAGGGCCTTCCCTGTGGTCAGACTCCAACCTGAAGGAGCCTTGTAGAGAGCAGCACCTGACCTGAGGACTGTGCAACTTGGTGTCTCCAGGTTGTCCCCATGTGGTCATTTCGGTGGCAGCGGGAGTGGGGGCTGGGCACAGCACCTTAACCACTCCTTCCGGAGTCTGCTTCTGGAGGAGGAGTCTTGAGAAAGGCTTACCCAGCACTGGGGTGGGAAGCTTGGAACAGAATGTAGACAAGTTGGGCAGGGAGGCTGGAAGATTGGAGAAGAATTTGGAGGTTGATGGGACTTGGACTGGGACGAGTGGAGCAGACTTGTAAGTTCCCACTGATGAGGTCCCTGGCAGGAGTCACAGGCCCAGCCCCAATAAGCACATGGCTCCTCCCTTCCATTTTCCACTTAAGCTTCTTGGCTTTATACGTAACCCTCCTTGTCCCCACTGTCCCAAGCCTTTATCTCTGTACCCCAGTCTCAATCTGGGGCCCAGTGAGCATTTCCCTTCTCATCGTATGACCCCTTAGTAGCACCATGTCGCATCAGAGGATTAGCACCTTAGACTAACTGGGCTACCTACATACTGTGCCTTTAGACAGTCAGCACCTGCCTGAAGAGGAGTGTACTAACCATGCCATGAGGATGTCATGTGTGGGCCTAAGGAACTGGTAGACAGTGGGAGCATGGGAGTGGGCAGGAGGTGGCATGGTCCTGCCACCAGGCTCCCATGTTTTGAATTTACTCCCTAGGTTGGGCTCTGGCTGGGGGTGTCCAAGTGCTACCAGTCCAAACTCTCACCCTTCTATATCATCACATCGTGGAAATTCCTGGATACCACATGTTGCTCCCAGCCCCAGTGCTCAGCTCTGGCTCTCTTGGGGCATTGGAAAAGAGCCAGAGCTACAGAGAGTAGGTGTCCCCACCTCAATCATGCTGGTGTGCTGAGCAGCTCTAGTGAGTGATGGCTTACACATAAAGACCAGGTCCCTTTGTCCCAACTGAGGACCAGACTAATTTCCAGCTGCTCATGGGGCTAGCTTTTCCCAAGTCCAGGTGGTGAACGCAAGCACCTGATAAAATTCCCAGGGCTAGTCTCCTTCTTCAGAGTAGGGAAGGTCATGGAGGGAGACTTTGCTACTCTTTAGCGGCCCCAGCTGCTTCCTAAGAAGTGAAATGAACCTAGGCATCACCAATGGAATGCCAACCCTCTTTCCCCATCCACCTTCACATGGGGACCATCTCTCCTCTCCTTCCCGCCGCCCCCCCAGGTCTAGGAAGGGCCTGGGACTGTGGGCCTCTTTGTCTCATCTGCACAGCAGAGGTAAAAATGAGGAGAAAAGAATGTTGGAGCTGCCCGCCCTCCCAGGCCTGAACTGACTGCAAAATGGGTGGGGGCTGGAGGACCAAGAGGCCAGAGCAGGAAGGGCAGGGGCTGCAGTGGCCAAGCTGGGGAGGGTGGGTTCTCAGAGAGCTGAGAAAGCAGGGCCAGCGCCTCCAGGGCTGATGACCTCTGACCCAGCCCAAACAGGAAGTGCCATATCTGTGGGCCCAGACCCGGGAGGAGAAGGAATGCAGGGATGAATCCAAAGCAAACACTCCACCAGCTTAGCTTCCCAGGCCTCTCTCTGCACCCCTCCAACTCTGGCCCTTTTTTCTGCTGAGAGTGTGGGAGTGGGGGAGGAGGGGGAAGGATTCAGCTGACGAATGGGACCAAGACAAGATGGAGTTCCCAGGCTCAGAGCCCAGTTGGAATTGGTGGTAGGGACGTGTCTGTGGGCATCTTTGGGTCCTTCAACCTTCCACATCCATGAAAGCAGCAGTGCTGCCCCTCTCCTGTTGCAACCCTGCCTGCCTGTTACCTGTTCCCATGGCACTGTGAGCTGTGGAGGCTGACCCAGGAACCCTGACCCTTTCCCTGTGGTCTCTTCACAGGCAGGGAAACTGCCAAGGCCAGGCCTGGCTTTGCCCAGACTAAGGAACTCAGTTCTTAATCATTGTTGACTAGATACTACTACCCTTCCTGCGGTACCAGGTTGCCAGAGGGTCATGACCTGATTGCACAGTGAGTGGGCCCTATATCTTTGGGCAAGTTCATTTACCTACCTATACCTTAGTCTCCCATCTGTGAGATGCAGGTGAGGCCCTAGGGACCTAGAAAGCTGCCCAGGACTGGGTGTACATTAGGGAGGGACCAGGATGGGGATCCTGGAACTTAGATTGAGATGAGAAGCAAAAGTGTGTTCCGTCCGAGGTGCTATCATGCAGTAGTCACTAGCTCCTGTAGCTTTAGGACAAAAGGTAAGTGTGGCATATGGCCTCCATAACCAGCCTGCACCAGATAGCTAAACCTACCTTTGTGGGTCCAGGTCTAAGACACAGTCTCTTCCTGCATGAGAGAGCTCAGCTGCAGATGGTTTCTGAAGCAAAGGAGGATCCTGGTGAGGGTAGGATGTGGGGAGGCTCTCCAAGGAGCTATGGGAATCAAGCCTCTGGTGAAGCACTGTCTAAGGTTGGGCCCCAGCAACTCATGGACAAAGAGATGCAGTGCGTGTGCTAAATCTAGTAGAGAAGGAAGGAGGGATTCCCAACACAGGACTGAAGGAGATGCATTTAATTCAGTCAAGTCCCTCTTCATCCTTTGCCCTCTGTTGGGTTATTTGCTAACTGAAAGAGCCTCCATCAGTCATAAAAAGTGGGCATAACCAAAGCAATGGGAGCTTCTAAATCTTTATCCAATGGTGCAAAGATCAAGTGGAGCTGGGTTTGGGGTGCTGCCCTCCAATGAGCAGTGCACATGTTTGGGAAGGTGGGTGGGGTAGGGCTAGGAGTCCTCTTCTCCCTGCTGGGGTTGGATGATCACGCTGTGGTAGGCTCGGATACAGGAGAAGGCAGTGGGTGGGATGCGGCGCCGGTCAATGAGGTTGTTCTCCAGGTGTGTGGCTAGAAGTTTGGAGTCCTGGGTCACACGTGTGTCACAGATGGAATTCAGAGGCACGTGTCTGTGAGAAGAAGATTGAAGGACCCAGAAAAAGAGAGGCAAGCATCATGCAAAAATAAAACCTCACAGTGAGTGGAATAGAGGGGAGACACAGAGATCTGAAGTTGGGGGGAGGATCAGGCAGAATCCTGCCTCACTCTCAACTGACCACTCAGCATGAGGCTCCTAGCCCCAGTCCTTGCCACTCTGCCTTCCCTTAGCCTACGCCCTGGACAGACTAATCTGTCCAAAGTCCTATCTTGGCTGTCTGGGTCTGCCAGCCATTTACACAGCACAATCTCTCATCATGACAACCAAGATGGATGGATGCATGGGTTGGGAGTAGAGGAAACGATCTCCCCCCCCCCTTCCATCCTCTCTCAGGCTTCTGTGACCTGTGGGTGAGGATTCTGCCCTAGCCAGTGCCTGGCTGGGGTTGGACATGGGCGCAGGTAGGTGGCCCTACCTGATCTTATTGTTGCTCAGGCGCAGCACCTGCAGACCCTTAAGCTCCAGGAGGCCTCGTGGAATGGCCTGCAGCTGGTTGTGATCTAGCAGCAGCTCTGCCAGGGAGGCATGCAAGCCCAAGAAGGACACTCTGTGGATACCATCACTGCGCAGCCTGTTGTGGGACAAGTGTAGGAACTCCAGGCCTGGCTTCATGTGCGCAAATACATAGCCAGGGATGCGTTCGATGAGATTGTGATGCAGAATCAGGTGTCTCAGGCCTCGTGGCAGGAAGGAAGGCACATGCACCAGCAGGTTATGAGACAGATCGAGGGTCTTCAGCTTCCTATGGGGTGGACGACACAGGTGAGTAGGGAGCTGGTGGCTTGAGAGTCCCACTCACTCCTGACTTTAGTGGAGCTCCAGAGGCTGGAACTCTCAACTAGGGTGATGGGCCCGTCTCCACTTCACCCTAGGTAGCAGGGATTTATAGGACTCCTGAGTCAGGCTACGCCCTGGGTGGCTTCTGTGTCCCCCTCTGGCCTGCAATTGGGGAGCTAGATGAAGCCTTCCTTGCTGCCTTTGGGGCCAGCTACACTAGCCCTCAGTGTAGAGGTAGCAGACCTTTCTCTCACTTCTTGCCTTCCCTCTGTTCCTTGTCACAGGCCTCCTGGACTATTGGGCCTGACAGCTGACACAGGGAGGTACCTAAAATCTGTCTCCTCCCTGCCTGTCCAAAGCCTCAGAGCCTTCTCCTTGTATCTCTGTCAATCTTCCCTTTCATTGCTGCCTTTGCCAAGTTGGGGATGGACCCCAGGCCCTAGAGAAGGGTAGGTATGTGATCCACCATTGGGCTATGTCCCCTCAGCCCTCTCTCACTCCCCTTCTCCTCCCCCTGCCTCAGCTAGCCTTTTCAGCAGCCATTCAGGAATCAGACGGGCAGAGACATGCCTGTGCTCTCAGCCCTTAGTGTCCATGCTCCAGAGGGACAGATCAGGGCTGATAGGGAAAGCCAGGTCACCACCCTCACTTCTCACCAAGCTACCATGCGTTGGTCCATGGTGGATCCTAGACGCTCTGCCTCCAGCAGCCAGTGAGCCCTGGTCCCTGCTGCTCTGCAAGAGCAGAGGGTGGCAATGCTTCTAGAATGTTTCAGAGCAGGGAAAGTGGCTTCTTTCAGTGATCCTCCCTCACCCCAGCTCCAGTAGGGAATTAGCCATTTGGGCAGCTCTGCCTCCTGCCCCTGTGGGCTGTAGCTCCTCCCCTTCCATCAGCAGAGAGGAGACAAGGCAAGCAGGCCTGGAGTCAGGAGAGGCAAGAGCTGAGCTGCCTGGGCTTGACTGGCGGCCAGCCCCCTGCCCAGGCCCCGCAGTGGCGGCGGCAGGCGGCGGAGTGGAACGTGGCTGGGTGGCCCCTCCCAGGCTGCTGTCTGCTTTCCTTTGCCCCCTTGGCGAGAGGGGAGGGGGAGGAAAAAGGAATAATTAAACCCAAACGTCCTGGTAACTTTTTCCTGGAACAAGAGAATGCAGGGCTGGAGGCTCTGGTCCAGGGAATGAAGGGTGGGACTGTCTGTAGACCCTGCCTCCACTCTCCACTCCAGCCCCACCCTGTCTTGGTGGTCAACAGACCCTCCTTAGCCTCTTACCTGGCACCCAGCCTCCGTTTGGCTTTCCAAACTGTTCCCCAAACGTGGTCTCGGTTCCTTAGCCATGTAGCTTCTTTTCACTGTACACAGTCTGTAAGTGCCAACACTCCTCACCTAGTTGTCTAAACTACAATGAGAAGTCATCCTAGACCTTTCTGGTAGTGGGGTTAACAATGCCGCCCTAAAGGTATATCTACATATAGAGCAAGGGAAGATGTGTGGGCAGAAATCCCTCTGCCAGGCTTAGATGCTGAACTGGAAGACCTTCATCTTTGTGAGAGCTACCTAAGGCCTCTACCATGATAGGCAGAGTGGTGAGGTCCAAGACTGGCCGGTCAATAGGGTGATTTCACCAAGATTGGCACACGAGGCCAAGGCCTAGAGTGCTCTCCTGTAGTGAAGAGGCCCTGGGTGGTAGTAGGTACCTTTGAACTTCCGGAAGTTCCCTCTGGTAGCTGGTATCACAGACTACATGGCAGCTCTCCAAAATGAACTCTTATCCTAGTCCCCAGGCCCTTTGAATGTGACCTTATTTGGCAAAAAAAAAAAAAAAAGAGGCTCTTTGGAGATGTAGTGAATGGAGGGATGTGGAGATGAGGTTATGCTAGATTATCTGGACCAGCCTTAAATACAATGACAGGTGCACATAGAGCAGACAGATGAGAGAGAAGACAGACAGCCACAGGCAATGAGCCTATGTACAGACAGAAGCAGACATTGGCTTGATGCAGCCACAAGCCAAGTATGTGAGTTAGCGTTCTCATTGTGATGACAGACTGCCTGATATAAACAATTTAAATGGAGGAAAGATTTCTTTAGCTTGTGGTGTCAGAGGTTTGCATGAGAGTGTGGTAGAGCAGCTCACATCACAGAACAGAGGAAACAGAGCAAAAGAAATACAGGAAGGGGCCAGGACAAGATATAGCCCCCAACCTGCCCCCTCCAGTGATCTGCTTTATCCAACTTAGACCCTATTTCGTACTTCTCACTATCTCCTAATGATGCCATCATATTGTGAATCCATGTGGGCTTTAATTCCCTGACTGGATCAGAGCCTCCAGGATCCACTCATTTTGAAAGTCCACCAGCTGCCAACTAAGCCCCCAATAAGTAAGGTTGTGGTGGCCATTTCACCCTCAAAGAAAAACACCAGGGAACACATATTGGGACCACTGGAAGATGGAAGAGGAAAGGGAAGCTACTGTTGTAGAGCCTTCAGAGGAAGCACATGCCTCCAACCTAGACTGCATATGTCTGGCCTCCAAAATTGGGACAGAATCCTCTTCTATGGTTTGAAGCCACCCAGTTTGCAGTGTTTAGTGAAGGCAGCCCCTGGGCAGCACATGACTCTCTTTGCCCTACTTGCTCCCTTCTGCATCCCTTCTTGCCCCTGTTGCCTCATAGCTGCCCTCAGGTCAGGACCAGCTCTGCATGCCACCACTGTGTCCCACCTTTGTATACTTCCTGGGTTCTGGGAGGGCAAGCACAGGCATGGGCATGGGTGTTGAAGGGAGCAATAAGTCTTCCTCCTGTGCCCAGGCCTTCTGTAGCTAACATGGCCTTCATGGTGCTTACCACCCTCTTTTCTGACCTGCCGGCTGTCTGGGTTTTAGGAGACTCTTCCTCCCTCTCTGGCCTCCATGTCCCTGGCCCAGGCAGATACTCACGGGAGATCAATCCAAGCACGGGGTGCTATCCGGTCCTCCTGGAGCTGGTTATTGCTGAGTACAAGGGAACTGAGGTTGTGGCTGCCACTCAGCACATGCTCAGTCACCTCCTCGATGAGGTTGGTACCCAGGTGCAGCTCCTAGGGCCAAGGGTCATGATGAGGGTCCACCTGCCACTTTTTGTCAGTCAAGCCAGAACCTGGCTCTGGCTGTCCCCCTTTTATCCATCCCTGTCTGGAAGTCATACATCATCATCTCTATGATATTCAGATTCATGGTTTTATGTGCAAAGAATTCCAGGAACATCTTCCTATTAGGCCATGGCTCCTCAGAGACCTTTAAGGTCCATCCCTAGAGAGTGCCACCAAGGGGAATGGACTTTCAGGGGGCTGTGTGACCCCAAGAGGATATGGACCTTACTCAGGGACACCCAATGGATCCAGAGTCCATGAGGCCCAAGTCTAGGCTTTGAGAAAGTTAGCTCAGGCACAGTCTCTGAAGCCTGGTGACTTCCATTATAGAAATCCCCTGATGGTTTACTCTGGTGATTTAACTGTAATAACATCACCCTCACTCCCATCCTAGGGTCTCCTATCTTACCTGTAGGGATGCTGGTAAGCCAGGTGGGATGGTCCTCAGCCGGTTCCGGTCCATCCTCAGGTAGAGCAGGCTATGGAGGGGCTGGAAGGCCAATGAGGAGATGTCCCCATCATGCAAATGGTTCCCTTCCACTTCCAGTGTCAACAGTTGGCTGAGTCCTGTAGGCCAGAGAGGGGTTCAGTGAGTAGACCAACCATGGTACTCCCTCATCTCCACCCTTACTTGGCTTCCCAGCTTCCCAGGCCCAATCCCTTTTCCCGTACCTCGGAAGCTGCTGCGCTGCAGACTCTGCAAAAGGTTGTCATTGAGTTTGAGCTCCTGCAGGGAGGCAGGCAAGGTGGGCACTACAGACAGCGAGTTTCCATCCAGGTTCAGCCGCTTCAGCCGTATCAGGTTCTGAGAGGAGAGAAGAGCTGGCTGGGGGCTGGCATGCTGCTGGTCAGGATGTAGGCCTTGGAAGTGGCGCTGTGGCTCAAGGGGTAGAGTGCTCACCTTGAGCTGAAGAGCTGAGGGACAGCGCCCAGGCCCAGAGTTCAAACCCCACAACCGACAAAAAAAAAAAAAGGATGTAGGCCTTCCTGGACATGGCTTTGGGCTTATCCTAGCCAAGGGGCACCTCTATTTGGTTATATTGTGGCTTCCTCATTCCCACTGGAACCAAACCTGTTGGAGGTGGCCTGTTTTCCCATGTTGATGCTGCTTCCAAGGTCCCAGAAATAGATCATACACCCCAAATCACAGGAACTATCATGTTAGGTGCTTCCTGTAGTACCTTCTGCCAGCCTGACCCCCAGCATTTCCACTGTGCAGCCCAATGCAGAGTAACAAGCACCCAGGTAATAAACATCTGAGACCTGCCAGGCCTCCTCCAGACCCTGGAGACTAGGTGGAGAAACTGTGGCATACCTTGAAGGCATGGGGGTGCAGGCCTCGAGTGTGCAGTCTGTTCTTGCTCAGGTCCAGCCACTCCAAGTTGGGAAGCCCCAGGAATGTGTGAGCTGGGATCTTGACAATTTCATTCTCTGTACACAGAGAGGCAGCCATGTCCTATGCCCCCCAGTCCCCTGCCCTTGGCTAATCCGTACCTCCCCCCTCTCCCCGCTCTTATGGAGAAGACAGGCCTTCTGATTGTCTCAGGTGAGGGCATCTTCTCACTACTCACCAAGACCCATGGGGAGGATGAGCTATGCCCTGTGGGACAACCACACTGGCTGGGGAGTGCCTAGAGAGCAAGGAAGCCAGTGGAAGAGCACAGGCACACATCCTTTCCACCTTTGCTGCAGGGATGAATGCTAAAACGGGGGCCACCCACCTGACAGGTAGAATGTGGTCAGGCCAGGGTCAGTCAAGGCAGGAACATGCTTCATTTTGACATTGCCACAAGCAATAGTTGCCTGGGCCAAGAGGCATGAAGCTGGCAAGGAGGGCGTGGCCTGCTCCAGGGTGTGCAGGTCTGTAAACCTAGGTGCATGCCCTTGCCTGCTTGCTAGCCCCTTTTGCCCATGGCCTGTGGTTTTGGAGCTTCTGCGGCTATTGCTGCTGCTGCTGCTGCTGCTGCCGCCCCCGCCTCCCTGGCTTCTGCTGTAGTCCTTCTGCTGGTTCAAGGCCCCTGAAGAAAGAGTGAGGCAGTCTTGGCTTGGTCACCAACAAGGGCTCAACCAATGGGCAGGGCCCTGAGGCTAGGAGGGGTGAGTGAAACTGGGAGGAGACATTGCTTTGGTGGGTTCTTCTCCCTTGGCCACAGAGAATAGGGCAGGACTTGAGCTAGTGACACTAGTGTGAGTGATGGAGGATGGATAACGTCTTGGCCACCTCATGGTTACTATATGGCCCCATCACCACTAGCAGGCATCACCTGGAGCCATGTTACCAGGCCAGTCCTCACCTTTGGGCAGCCTTTCAGTGTTTGGACCTCGTCTCCAGGTTTCCTGACCTCCTGTCTTCCTGCTCCAAGCCTTCTTGGTAGCCAGTACCCTCTCCGGAGTCCTGTTGGTCTGCAAGGGCCTGAGCTTCTCAGTCTGGGGTTTCTCTGCCCTAGCTCCCAGGACAGAAGTGGCCTGGGAGTGACCCTGCTCAGTGCTTTGCCCCTTGTTTTGCCCCTGCTCCTGCCCTGAGGCCACTGGGGGAGACCTCTTCCGCAGCCATGTCCTGTGGGATGTCTTCCGGGCAGAGGTAGATGGATCCTTGCGTGTGGGCCAAGCCTGCCACCAGTACAGCTGCTCATCCTCATGTCTGTGTGAGTCACCACTCCTGGGGTTGGGTTTCACTTGACCTGCAAAAGAGTCCATATGGGCTAGGGTGGCTGGGAACGCCCCCCAGCCATGGCTGAGGGGCTTCACCTCCTCTCCCTCGAGTGGGGTATTCACTGTACCCTCCCTTTCCACTCAGACCTCCTCTGCTATCTCTCCTCTTCTGAGGAACACCAGAAACAGTGAGGAGAGAAGAAGAGAGGGAAAGAGGTTGTCTGGGAAGAAAAGAGAAAAAGAGAAGGGAGGCAGAGCAAGAGAGTGAGAGAGCACAGAGCCTTGCCCAATGTCATAAAGAGCTTGGGTAGCCTCATCTGGCAGTGCTGCCTGCCTGGCAGAATTGAGAAAGCTCTTTTGTGCTCTTTGTTGGGACAAAGCACAGGCTGGGCCTAGTCTACAGAGCCAGGAGAGTTTCAGTAATAGCCTTAGGGCTGAGGACCTCATGTACTTAGAGGATCTTGGGTTCCTCCTCCCATCACTCCCTTCATAGCCTGTCAAGGACAGAGGAGTGGGGTGTCTCTTCTGAGTACCCCTCTAATCCTATGCCCCATGTAGGCAGGGACCGTGCATGGGCCTTGGGGAGATGAAGGGGTTGCTGCCAGATGGCATTATTGGCTATTGGGAGAGACTGCCCCAGTGCCTGCTGGGAGATAGAGGTTTTTGGGAGCTAGACAAACCTGAAGGCCAGCTTGAGGAGTTGACAGCCACTTCAAGAGAGGGACATAGGCTGGGAAGGTGGCTCAGTGGTAGAGTGCTTGCCTTGCATCCATGAGGCCCTGGGTTCAATTCCTCAACACCACATAAGCAGAAAAATCTGGAAGTGGCACTGTGGCTCAAGTGGTAGAGTCCTTGCCTTGAGCTGAAGAGCTGAGGGACAGTGCTCAGGTCCAGAATTCAAGCCCCACAACCAACCCCCCCCAAAAAAAGAAAAGAAAAAAGAGGGACCGCATTGAACTACATAACTAGAGGGTAAGGATGGGAGGGGAAAAATAGGAGGCAATGCATGGAAAAGATGAAATTGATAATTGAATTCATGACCTGACTTATGGACTTGAAACCTGTTTGTACAACTACTTTAATAATAATGATAATAATAATAATAATGGGCACTAAATGCAAAACTATTGCATTACAATCTTAAAAGTAAAAGAGAGGTGGTAATCCCTGGGGCATCCCCTGCTCCTACAGCCTGGAACCCCCTGCTCTGTCTTCAGGGGAGGGGTTCTAGATCCATACACCAACCCCTCCTGCCATATGCCTGGAGCAGAAGTGTGACCACCAGACACAACACCAACCTACCAGCCTATGAGACAAAGGTCAGAGTCCTTGTTCCAGAACCCATTGAGCCAAGCTCTGCCTGCCCTCCCCCCACCCCCGAAGGCTCTACATTCTCAGCTCCCCTTCCCTCCCACCCCCAGTTCTCCCTGTCCTGGAAGGCTCTGGGGCAGCCAGCTCAATCCCCTGTCCAATAAACCCTGGTCCCTTCTGCAGCCCCTCCCCTTCCATGTCCCATCTTACACAGTGGGCTCAGACTTCCCAATCTGTAGTCCCCTTTACTTTCCAGAAGGGGGCCTTCCTGAGGACATGGGTCCCTCCTGGCTTTGCCTGAGTGCCCCAGGTGGCACTCTCAGGGCAATTGGCTTCCTCCCCTCCTCCCCAGCCCAAGGGGTACTACAGTAGTCGGGCAAGGCACTCTTCTTCTGCTGGTGCCAGCTACTCACCGTTGGAGGACCGGGACTGGCTGAATGGTAGCTGCAGGGTAGGCAAACCTAGTGGGGTCTGTGGGGCTGTGGTCTCTCTCAGGTTCAGCCCCTGGTTTGCCAGCGCCCCCTCAGAGCAGCACCCCATCCAAAGAGCCAGGATGAGGAACAGCATACCCTTCATTGCCTCCATGAGCCTGAAGAGGTATAGGAGGTGGAGTGATGGCCACGGTGGGTGGGACACTGACACACACAGAGATGGGGGACGGCTCGCAATAGTCTTGTTCCTGCTTCCTGAGTGCCAGTCCTTAGCTGTGGAGCTGGGAGCTGCCCTTGCCCACCCCAGCATCCCTTCTGCCAAACAAACACCTCTCTGGGCTTGTCCCAACACCCCAATGTACTCTGCTACCACCCGAGGAGAAAGACAGACATTCTTTCCCAAACCTGAGTGATCCTGCTTTTCCTGTAAGGCCTGCATTGATTCTTCACTGGCCCAGGCCCAGTGGCCCCCATGAATAGGGCTTCTGTCTCCACATACAGCAGGCCTGTGAGGCCCACCATGGAGCAGGATGCCCAGTGCACACTGCCAGCTCCTACCTCCATGGCTGGGAAAGGAGAGGGGCAAGGGCCTCCTGGATCCCAGGAACAGAGGGCAGGTGCCAGGGCAATGGTGAGTCTGGCTTCTATATAACCTACCAACCCCATGGACTTCTTCCATAGATATCAGTAGAGGAAACAGAACATGTGGCAAAGCGTGGGGAATGAACATGGACCTCTGCCCTTATAATCCAGTGCTACCAGGGCACAGGCTTGACTTGGGATGGGACTGGCTCCTGCTTCTCCTACAAACTTTCTGCCTGCCATTCCCTTCCACTTGTTCCCTCCAAAATGGGGGAGGGATGGGTTGGAAGTTCTGTGGCACCCCAATTGGGAGTTCTATGAACCAGGCACTACCTAGGGAAGCCATCTTACAAGTTTCCCCCAGACTCCTTAGCCAAGAGCCTTATGCCCCAGGTGCCCTGGTACCTCCCACAACACTCTGGGTCAAAGGGGCCTCCATAGATCAGGATGGCACGAGGCAGAAAGGATGTTGGGGCTGAGAGAAGACACTGCTGGGTAGGGACAAAGGAATAGATAGCAGAGCAAGAGGCAAAGAAAAGGGGATGTCTCTACAGCTCCCCAAAAGATCATTTGGAGCAGGGCCTGTGCAGCGACAGCCCCAAACCCATCTATGAGAGCTGGGGGCAGCAGGCAGCTGGGGCTGGCGGCCGCGTGGAGCTCACCACATGGCTTGGCTCCTGGGGCCAGCATTGAGGAAGCTTTTCCTACAGCCCTGTCCAGTGTTGACTTATGTTTGGAAGCGATCTGAAGCCATGAGTTAATTGTGGGCCAGGCTTGGGTGGAGGGGAGAAGGGGAAGCAGTGGGTGAGGGGCAGAGGCCAGGCACGGTGTTTGGGTATTCAGGTATCCTGAGGTCCTGAGGGAATGTGAGCAAGCTAAGGTAGGGAAGGATTCTTGCAAGTGGGGAGCAGCCAGGGCACATGGGAGTAGCTGCCCTGAGGAGCCCCCACTCCATCCTGCTAAGAGCCACACAGGGTCCACAGTCGCCTCTCCCCACTTCCGCATGCAGAGCTCTGGTTTATGGCCTGAATTTGGGACGGTGCCACCCATGGACCAGAGACAGAGACTTTGTGAGTAATGAGCAAATGCCTTGGGAGCCAGGGATGAGGCCACTAGCTGAGTGTGCACCCCGTGGGTGACATAGGATGGCCCACACCCAGCATTTTGTCTGGAGGGGCGCTGCTGAAGCTGGAGGAAGGAAGCCCTTAGGCAAAAGAGGCGGGAGGTGTGCCATCGTCAGTCACCAAGACAGCAAGATTTGCCAGGAGACCCCTTTTTACAGACTGGGCAATGGGGCTCCACACCCATCACCGAGTCGCCTAGTCCAGTCATCATCTGAGGTGACCCTGGGATGAGAGTCCTCACTCTGCCCCTCCCCCTGCCCAGGGATGAATTCTGGAATCCTGGCCCCCTACCCATTTCCCCTGTTCTCACCGCTCCCCAGGCGCTGACTAAACATCCTGCCATCTGGTTCCCATTACTTGGGATGGGGGTGGGGGGACGCTTGCTCCCAGGTTTCTCTGGCACAGCTAGGCTGGAGGAGGGAGGGCCATCTCTTCCTACCACCTAGACAGGAAGGGCTAAGGCCTAGGGTCATCTCCATTTCTAGGTGCCATGGAGTACTGTCCTGCCTGCGCTGCCCTTGGTTGAGGAACCCGAGGTCAATCTGAATAGGCACCAGAGGAATGAATGGTCTGCCACCTACTCTTTCCTGCTGGGATACCAAGTGCTCTCTGAGACCCTGAAGGAACCCCCCACAGAGCAGAGCCAGCCCGTGGGGGGCAGGCAGGGAGGGCTCAGCAAACCCAGAGATTCCCAGCAAGTTTCTGTCTGCCCTCGCCACCTCCCCTCCCTCCCAAGAGCTCATTTGGATCAAGTGCTGAGCCAGGCAGGGCCTCAGGCCAGCACGGATCCTGAGCCGGTGTCTGGAGCGGAGGGTGGGAGAGGCATTGGGATTTTCCAGGAACCAGGATGAGGCCTGGGGGTTGCTGGAAAGAGTGTTGGGCTCCTTACTCTACTAGGGACTGCCTGGCTATGTGATCCTAGGAACAGAACAAGCCTCCTTACTCAGTGCCTCAGTGATGAAAACGCTGTCCTTAGAAAGTTGGAGAATCTGAGAGCAGGCAGGGAGAAGAATCTGCTATGAACACTGTAGTTTCCAGATGCCTAACTTGTAAGGACAAGAAAGGGACTCCCCTTCCTTTCCTTTCTCTCCCCCACCCTACTTCCCTTCCTTTCCTTTCTCTCCCATATGGCTTACTCCCTCTTGCGTATGCTCACACATGCACATGCGCAGGCACACACACACACACACACACACACACACACACACACATACACACACACCCCCTGCAACTTGAATCAAATTGGCAGGAAAGTGACAAAGGAGAATGACAAAGCAATGCTTCCTGTCCCTCAAGTCTCCTTAGAGCTTCATGCACAGAGGAGAACTCTCTTCTCATCAAAGGAGGATGGGAAGACATTCTTTGCTCATGCAACATTCTTGAGCGCCTGCTCATTTGGTGAGTACATTGGGACTCTACCAGAAACAAAGGGGCTGGCCCTGGTAGCTAGAAGAAGCAACACTTTCCACAGGGATTTAGATGAGGACCGTGAGAAAGTGACTTGGGCAGAGATATGAATAAAGAGGACAGAGCCATGCAAAAGGAATTCCAGTAAAGAGGCTTCTACATAGGAGGGATGTCTCATGTAAAGGCACTAAGGCAGACAAGGGTTTGGTCTACTTTGAGACGCAGCAAAGAGACTAGATGTTGGAGCAGTCTGAGTGAGCAAGGTGTCTAAAAGTGGCTGGCTAACATTACCTTTATCCTTGCAGACAAAATGAAGCTGGCTGGGCTGAGGGTATGGCTCAAGTGGTAAAGTACTTGCTTAGCAGGTGCAAGGCTCTGAGTTCAAACCCCAATACTGCCCAAATAATAACAGTATAATAATAATAATAATAGAAAATGGAGTAATGAGGGTGTTAAAATAAAGAGCAGAAAATGAATTCAATAGACCAAATCAACTTTAATGGAAAGGTAAAGAGAGATGTCAAGGTGACCTGAGGAGAGTTAGGACACATGAGGCATAATGGGGCAGGGGTGGAGGGACATGGTAGGATCATGGGTGGGTGGGTGGGGACAGGGACTCAGGTAGTTGGATGGCTCAAAGAGTTTCCAGAGTTTAAACCTATGTTTAAACAAGTCTCTGAGGCGCCCACCACCTGCGGGGGTGGGGGGGGGATGGGGGGAAGTGGGCTTTCATATTTAGATTAAGATTCTGGGCTGGATATTGGGCTGGAGGGTAGTCAGTGGGCCAAGACATGAAAACAATTTTGAATTAAGAGAACAAAGTAGATTCCCATCAATAATACATACATAAATATATAAATAATACAAGGTGGGGAGGGGGAGAAGGGAACCACTGTGGTTTCCTCACACAATTGGACATTTGATAAAAAAGGGACCCTTAACAACTCTGAACCCTGGGCAGCAGGGTGGAGCACAGATGTGTGCAGGTGGCAGGACCAGGCAGGGGACAGGTGATAGTGTGTGGTCCAGGAGAGAAGCCCAGACGGGCGAAGTGAATGGCGCAAGCCAACCTCATGCCTGCCCTACCTCGACGAGTGGACTTTGAAGCTGCTTTTCAGACTGGCCAACTTTCTAGAAGGAACTTCCAGATGTTTGTAGAACTTACAACCAAGGCTCTTCTGCTTGGGTCCATGGCAGAACAATGGTTCAGTAGCCCTTGTCACACCCTTGGGACTCTCCAGAGAGGGGAACAGGCACATTCTTGAGCCTCCCACATCTTGTCTGAGTAAAATGGATGTATACATGTGTGTAATACAAGGCTTTCCTGCATACACACACACACACACACACACACACACACACACACACACACAGGCAAGTTTCAGGGTAAAAGCAGCTATGTTGTATGTCAGGAAGGGGCCTTACTCCTTAAAAGCTTTCAGACGGAAAAAGGCAGACTTTCCGTGTCCTCTTCCTGTTGCCAGCAGCCCTTCCCTAGAGGAAACTGGTTTTGTTTTAATGTCATTGAAAGCTCAGAGGATCTGCTCCCAATTAAAGGACTTTGCTTGCAGATGATTTTGTGAGCAGGCAATTCCGATTGGGACTCACAGACTCATCTTCTGGGCTGCCTTCCTGGGACCAGAGGCAGGGGGAAGACAGATAGGCAGAAGGATGGACAGACAGACACAGACCATGACGGCTGGGGATGGGACAGAGGGGAGTGAGAATCACCAATCCCCAGGGTAGAGGACCCCAGGCCTTCACATGCAAGGTGTGGGAGATCGTGGGGCGGGTGCCAATGGAAGGTGGCCTAGAAAGGACCACGTACAGCACGGAGGACTTGGAAATAAAGGTTCTACTTGGCCCACATGGCTGGTGGAGGCCGCAGAGCCATGGTGTGATGAGGACCACTGTCTTCTCATCCTCCGTCCCTGCCGGAAATTCCAATTGATTCCTCCTCCAAAACGTGGGCTCAACTTGACTCAGAAATCTGGGCTGCCCCTTTAGGTGGGCCTCAGGCAGAGGACAGAGGCTGGGCAGAAATTGAGGCTTGAGGCTTGACTGGGAAGGCAGGGAGTAGGCGAAGTGGATCACCTCCTCCCCCAACCTGGCCCTCCAATTGGGCACGTTTATGTTCCAGTTCTGGCGCCCGCGTCTCCAGCTCCAGACGCATGTGACTCAGCCCTGTTAGCCTTGCCAAGCCGTCTAGACCCAAGAGTCTCCCTGCGGAGGGGGGGCAGTGTTCGTGCAGGCCGCTGGTTTCCCTTTTCTTCCATTGCCTTGGCTAAGCCTCGTGCCTGTGCAGCCATGCATCTCTACGCATTCCAGGTAGCGCGTGACTCTGAGACTTCAGCAAATGGAGTATGGGGCTTGGGGAGAGTGCCTAAATGCAATGGACCCCACCCCACGCGCATGTGGATTAAGGAAGACCTCAGACCTTGCTTTCTCTTT